CCATCTATGTGGTATGAATGCTAATGAGGCTAATGAGCTAAAGCGTCAGCAAAAAAGTTACAGTATGTGAGGCATTTTTCGAAGGAATTTTTAAAGCATTTCAGGTTAACTATCAGCCATATTTTTAGTTTTAATTTAAAGTTGCTAGTACTAACAAATTAAGCAGTTTTGCTAATTTCAGAATCCAATGAGTTTAAAACACATCTAGTTTATTGCTAGGAACTTGTTTGTATTTATGAGAGCGTATTCATATTTATTTTGTCGTTTTTAAGCCTCTGCTGTTCGACTCATATCAAGGGCGCTAAATCTTATTCATCCAACAAGTTTTTAGTAACATATGTAACCCTTCGTGTATAAGTTTAACTCTCATGTGACGTGTTTTAGCCGTAGTTAAGTCTCAGTACCAAGTCCATGGGGCCTATAGACTATTTCGTTAACATGTTACTACCTACAAATACAATTAACCATAAAATGCGTACTTAAATTGTAGTTAAAATGTGTAGTCTAACTATACTATGGAAACTACTCAATAAATGATTTATAAACAAATTATAGGTGAATATTGAATTGATTCTGATAAATTACTTGCATTCTCCCTAAAAGTATAAAATACACTTAAAATTAATCCAATTCAAAAGCAATAATAAGTAATAGCTTCCCATTACTATATAACTCAAAGTTAAAATTACACTTAATTTAGAAACCCAATATCTATTTACTTAATTGTCAAAGTACACCTAATATCTTTTACAAAATGAGTTTTTAATAACAGGACAAGCAAATGAAAAGCCCTCGATGATATTAAAGAAAAGCTCGAACTTTTACCGAACAACGCCTAAATTCTTCAAGAAACTTGTTCAAAAGTACTTATAACAGTTACGTTAATAATACGCGTTAATTATAATCGATAACGTATTCAATTCTACATCGTAATCGTAACGTGAATCCAGACGATTCGGCGCGCGTAATTTCACCCATTACACGAACCACAAATTTATAATTTGCGTGTTCCGACATGGTAGTTATACGATTCTATTCCTTATGTCAGTAACACAAAGATACATTCTTCTATATTGATGTGTTAAGATTTTTTTCTATGCACCAGATACATCTAATCAATAAATATTTTTTTTAAGTAATGTAACAGTGAATATGAATCTTCAATTTCGTATTTATTTCTTAAAGTAAATTTTGAAAATTTGTTTGAAAATGCTAAATAGCATTTTTCTCAACATCATTAATTTTCTATATTTTAGTATTAACAAGAACAATAGGTTGCTTGGAGTCTTTTTCTATAAATTAAAATGCTATGAAATCAAATAGGTACTTAGTTGTGAGACACGTGAAAAGGACTTAAATGCTTTATAAAAACAATAAAATTTCTATTAGGTAAGTTCTTAAATTTGTTAAGATTCTGAATTTAGATTAAATTACATATTTTAAAATATTCATTCAATTCTATTTATATCTCTGTAACCGGCAGAAGTAGCTATGTACCTACAGGTTTAGTCATCTATTTGTTGACTACCTGCATTTGTTGCGCACGTTCATCTTGATCATCAACAGCCTTTAATAGTCCACTGTTGGACATTCAAAGTACAGATTTAAGTAACTGAAGTTACCAAATTGCAAATTTTCGAATAACGCACTTTTATTTTATTTATTTTCAATTTGCTTACAGTTGGCATGAGAGAGCCACATTAACAATGTAAGCAAACGCAAATCTGATATTAAAGGATCATTTTCGTTAGGAAACGATTACAGAGTAGTCCGATAAGAGAAATTCGATAAACAATGAAATAAATAGCTGTTGAATAAATCAAGACTTGAATAATGTTGGATGAAATTAGTTTGCGATATTCGGTCTTAATCTTTGTGGAATAATCTAAAATGTTTTAAATTAAGGCAGCGAATTATTAAGTGGAAAATACATTTAAATGTTGCACGGAATAATTAAGACGCAAATTACAATAATTACTTTAGGTATAATTAGGGTACACATTATGTTTCTGATAATATTGTTCTTGACTTTAAATTAACTTTTGCCTTAGTCTTTACCCGCGGGAATAATGAATGCTACATTTTTATGATATAAATCAAGAATTTAATTGGGGAATCGAAACTTTATTTTTATATTTAATTTTTATTTTAATTTTTAAGCAATTTTGCCGTGCATAGTTGTTGTTTTTCATACATAAGAAGAAAAGAGTTTGAGAAAAAGTTTGAAAGTGTATTTTACCAGTGTGTTGCAAGATGGTGCGAAAGTAATATTTTAAAAAATAAATAATAAATAATAATTTCAAATAATCGGTAATGCGAAAAATTGGTGTGTCTGTGTTTAAACTGACGGGGTGAAAACCAGAGGCGCTGTAGAGGTAATTAGTAGTTATGAACAAACCCGTTTAGAGTACCCTAAGTAGTAATAGTTATGCGTATAAAAACAAATTTGATATTATCGAGTAAAAGTACTGGTTAATAATGGTATACCTTAACTTTATTTTTCTATGTCCGTCCTATGTAAATATATCTTCCAAATATGGTAATAAAATTAAAGAGACAATGACGTTTTACATAAATTTTATAATAAATACTTAGATTGACAAATCACCCACCACCATCTTGGTATCCCCGTAACTCTAGAGCCGCCAATCTTTAGTCCGATCCTGTATATCCGATATATCCGATTATTAGTCCGATCACGAGTAATGTAAACTAACCAGAGACCACTTGTGGTACACGCCAATATGTCACGTCGGCCTTTCGGCTATAGATAGCAGCGATTTAGTGAAGCCGATTTTGTTGGAAACCTTAAATACATTACAACCAGTTTGTGGTCATTAGTCCTTGGCAAAAATAGTTTTGAAGGCTAAACAAAAACCTGTATCCTAGCCTAATTTACTAGCTCCTGTTATTTCATATAATATGTGCAACCTACGGTGACCACATGATAACCATACAGCATATTTATTTCATTTGAAATTATGAATAAAAGGTAGTTGTTAAAATAAATACCCACAAAAGTTTTGGCCAAATTGAATGTGTTAATGAGTAGGTGGCCCTTCACCCGGTTTGTCACACACTACCATCGTGTAACCATTTAAAAAGAAGACACGCTTAACTCTAAACACATTAGTAAGCACTCGTCCAAAAGATAATTACATCAAATTACCACACCGTGTGACATTGAAGCGTATTGACAACAACCACTAACAGTAAACTGATAATAACCCTACATGAAACCCAACAGAACGATTACTCGAATAGAAAGCAACTCTTAATAACCTTAACGAATTTGTAGAGAAAAGTCAGACACACGTAACAAGTCACATTCACACAGACACGCAAACTTTAATTGTTGCTAATTAATTTATTACATGTATTAAACAATTAAGCGTTATCTTGTTGTATTGTTATCGAATTCAGGACGCCATCGTACCATAGTTAAGGAGACTCTTTGCCCAATTGACTTATCTTTGAAGGTAATTAATGTGAGTACTCATCACGCGATGCTCTAATTGGCCGTCGAAAACAAACGTCATATCGTTATTACTTTCCATTTCACAAAAAGGATACGGCTGATTGAAGATAAAGTGGATTATTGTCAGTAGTCAACAACAATTGTTCGTTAATTACACAGTAAGTTTTGATAACAAGTCATAGAAAGAAATAGATGAAGAACATGATATCAAGAAATTAAATCTAAACCTTCTAAAAATAACATTGCTCTATCATTATCATTATTATTTAATTAAGTGTATATATTACACGATAAATACAAAAAGGTACACAAAGAAAAACAATCATAACATCGGATATGAATTATATTACATTAGCTCCCCTAAAAATCACCCCATAACCTCATTACTGTCAGAAATAAGATTGCCCGAACAAACACTATACTCACGTACATAACAAAACGAAATTAGAAATCGTCTACGAACACCGGTAAATGGTGAAACGATTGCCAATTTACCAACCCTACCCTGTCTTAATTGACGCAGACTACTCCTTAAACTAACGGGGGTAGATAGCGAAAGTAATTTGTCATCGGTTAGCTAAGCATGGTGGGGGGAGGCACTCGCGGGCTAACCTCCGCGAAGGTAGCACGTCTCTACACTAATGACATCCCGCATAATTAGGAACCGCCACCATCTACTAATTACATAAATCGCCCACTAAACTTGGCTATAATTTTGCTTCGCGTTTAAACAGGGTAACTGGGAAATACAGATATGTAACTATTAGGTATATATAATGTTTCACCGGGTCAGCTGAGGATCAAAAACAGTCAAACTTCAATTTTCATAGATGTTTCGAGTTTGAGAAGAAGAGGTTCCATAGGCACATAATTATAATTTCATAGAAAGATGTTGTAATTGGACTTATCTATTTGTTTATCAAATCAAAACATAAAATAATAGACGTACGAGTGATTACGACGAATGACGCACGAAATTGAAATTACTGTGACTACTATGAACTAACTAAAATGTACTAACTATTTATACAAACTGTTTTTCAAAGTCTTTCATTCCGAAAGACCAAGCAGGATAAGTATTACTGCCCTCGTTACAATAAATTACAAACATTTTCTTCAGACTTAAATGTAATCCTTCCATTCATAGCCTATAATATAGTGTGCATAATGTAAACCTTAAAAACTTACACGTTTCTCTGGATTACTTTAAGAACTATTGAAGTGAACAGGTTTCATTCATTTAACGATGAAAGATGTGGAAATATAGTTTCATTTTCCGCCATCAATATATACCGTTACCTCACCTCAAAATTATAATCTAAATAATACCAATGTATAATTTCTGAAGGATAATTTGTCAGATTCTGCGTTTAAACAAACAGTCAAACAATGCGTTTTCCTTCATACCAAAAAACAGTTTAAAATACTATTAGTCAGTCGATATGACTCATCGCCAAGCAAAATTTTACTGTGAGAATGTGCCGTATTCTATTATCATTAACATATATTTCATTGTAAACAGATCAGCCCACCATCAGTCAGTCATCCAGCAACGTAGTCGACGGTATCAACCTGGAAGATATCAAAGAATTCGCTAAGGCCTTCAAACTCCGGCGGCTCGGCCTCGGCCTCACGCAGACTCAAGTGGGTCAGGCCTTGTCTGTCACTGAAGGCCCCGCATACAGTCAAAGCGCGATTTGCAGGTATTTGTTAATTTTTAGTTAACTTTGCAAATGATAGTCATGTTTAGAGTACATCATAATACACTTGTTATGTGGCTACATCAATATGTATGTTGCTGTGCTTAAAACAGGGTACCTAGGTGACAACAATGTATTATTTAAGTTTATAGTCATGAGGATTAAAGCTAATGTCTCGACCTGGTTAGATTGACCGTGGTTACATGCTTAGGTACTCTTAAAAAGTCATTAAACACAGAGATTAATGTAAGGCTGCTTAAATAAATTTTCAGGTTAATTAATTATAGAGTTTTAAATACGTTTCATTCCAATAGAAGCAAAAACAGTTTTTTTTTCATTAAGGGATATTTCAAAAACTTTTACTAGAATTTCTACCCATTATCTATTCTAAAGTGATACACTTACCAACGAATAGCTTTTCATTTTTATTCATATAGATTACATTTTTAGGACCAGCAACATACATAGAAATTGTTTTTCCCTTTATTTGTTTTTTACTAAATTGAACAATCAAACAGCAACATACATTTCAAATTGAAGGTAATCTGCAAATCTTAACAGCAAAAATATATAGAGTTCACAACCACAGCTTAATAATAAATGTCGCAACTAAATTGTTGTTGTTAATACAGTATCTAATTTGTCAAACCAGAACGAAAAATGTAAAAAACGATTTGATGATATCTCACTTGTAACCAAGGGAGATAAAGTCGCACGCTTGTCAAAATAATGTGACCGTTTGCTGGCAACATCGTGGGGCTGACAAAAAAAGGTTCAAGAATCATTTTTATAAATGTCGTCACGCAGGCCAGCTCTCAGTTATCATTTCCAACTTTTTAATATCGTTAATTGAAGTGATTTGTAAAACAGCATGACTCCTTTCATTGCTTACAATTCTTTTAATTAATTACCATTCGGGGCTTCCGTTCCGGCTCGCTCTGTTGTGGGTTACACCATTTTTTACTGGGTTAGGCGCGGACGCCTCTTTTAATATTGTTTTTCTATCGCTTAGAATCAATTCGTGTGTTACTGTTTGAAAATATATTAGATAGCAAATACTTTTTGGCAGCGACATAATAAGATTCTCGGTCAATTAAAACCGATATAAGTTCTAATAATATTTAAGAACGAGTGAACATCGGTTCAACATCATGAATGGTGTATACAATCATTTTACATCTTCAGCCAAAGTCGATATGTAGGATTCCAGGCTTTCTTAATTGATGTACCTACCTATTTGTTGCAATTACATCAGATCTAACAAATGTAAAAATTGTTTAAATTGCTTCTTCTACGATTATACTGGTTTGATGGCCGTTTAAACTTGAAATCATATTTTTTACGTTACCTATATATACTACGTAAATCGACAAATTAATCACGCTTCAACACAGCTTTACGCTCATAATGTTTAATTGAATCAAATCATTCGAAACAACGTTGCCTGTGAACAAATCGAATTTCAATGCAAAACGGAATGCGACCGGCACAAGCCGAAGGAAATTTCAATTCCAAGCCACCCCCTAGACGACCTCCTTCGTATAATAAAATCATTAATCGTTACTTCTGTTCCAGTTAATTAATTATCTTGCCGTAATTACTTTTTTCGTGTAATTAAAAAGAGTAGAATTCCCCTGTCTTTGTTCTGTCGTGATTTCATTTCCCATTAATTTTTCTTTCGTCTCCCTCCAATTTGGTGTCGTGACGTCGCTACATGGTAGTTACCCCTTTCATTATACTGGACTTAATTAATTTGCATTTTAATTAAAACATATTATTGTTTTTGAGAAAAGAATTCCATTAGTGGATCTCGTTCTGCGTCACTGGCGCCTTTTGTTTCAAACTAGACTCACAAGTACAATGGTTTATAATAATTTTTTGGGTCATCAAAGATATTCAATTACTTACTTAACTCTTACACAACCGAAACCTAATTACTTTTAAAGAAATGCCCGCTTTCCTTTTTGTTTAAGCAACAAATAATAAAAGCCACTTATTTCTTGAAGTAACAGTAGGTAGGTAACAAAATCAAAACAAATTTACCTCACATAATCTGTTTTGAGAACAATAAGGCTCAGGGTCATTGCCATTTGTAACGGTGTCAATAACAAAATATTGAATTAACCATTAACCTCTGTCTGAGTGTATTACAATTTCATATGAAGCCCAACGCCTCAGGACGACACATACAAGAATAGCATTAATGCCAAGTAACCGATGCATAACAAGTCAATATCCTTAACTTGGTAAATCCCTACATCTCATTTGAATTTGACGTGAAAACGTAAATAAACGTTCAAATAAAAAAATAAACTTACTGTATCGTATTTTTTGAAATCATAGAGCGTGCGACTTTGTTCCTATCCTTTTAGATCTCTCTGGTGATGTTACTCCCGGCGATCTCCGCTGGAGTACCCTCACCGTCACTGGATTCGACATATCTAACATATTATTTGTTACCGTCCCCAGTGCCCTGGCTTCGCAGATGCTAGCAGCTCAGCTGTCTTCACAACAACAAAACATGTATGTGTTTTGTTTTTTTATCTCTATACATACACTATCTCCAAATTTATCTTCATCTAATCCTGCGTACACATTATGCACTTAGTTGTTTTCATTATGGCGCTGAGATAGTGGAGATAAATTCGAAGATACTTAACATACATTAAGTACACGCTTTGGCTCACTTATATCGGCCGAGTCCACACGCAGAATGTCTTAAATCAAAATGTTTCAACGCTGTTTAAAATAATCTTATCTCGATCGGCGATCCGTGCATACCTTTTGAACGTATGCCGTATATAATTATTTGTAATTACCGGTTTTGACGTTCTTTCTTTTCCTTTTCACACGTGTACGGTATTTGCATTCGGGTAATTACAGTAAAGGTGCCATACATCATACGGCCGACTTACATTTTGATGTTAAGACAAACGTGCTACACTAATGTGCCGGCTACCAAACCATGTCGATTCGACACTATGAGTAATCGCTGTGAACTTTATCACTTTTATTATTTGTAACATCTCGATGAGTAATATCTAACTTTCCATCTAATATAGCATGATGTATTATTTTCATTACTCTTATTTTTATTAATATTCATTTTGCGCAATTCAAAGCCAGGGCATTGGCATACGTTGTTACCTTTCATTTCTAACCGAAATCGTTGTTTTATTGTTACATCGTTCAGTATTAATCAAACTGATTACCTCGGTAGACTAAATTGCCTATTGTTTTTTCTTTCTCTTTCTAAAATCGTTAACGCAATGTCAATGTCCTGTGTTTATGCCTCTGTTAATTTGGATCGGGTAAATTTACACCGCGTTATGTAAAACGTGCTTCGTGTTAGATTTTTCATTTTACCGGTGCTCGCATAGCAAGAATCTAACATTACATTTATGTTCGATACAGATTTGAGAAATTGGATATAACACCAAAAAGTGCGCAGAAAATCAAACCGGTGCTCGAACGTTGGATGAAGGAAGCCGAAGAGAGGTAAATATTTGCTTGAGTGAATATGTTCGTGGTTATGTGCTACACCGTGTTCGTGAAACATTTGGCCTATAACGCTTAGCAACGTTGTGAAAGACATTTCTCAAATCTGGACTAACTAATGCTTTTACGGGCTAGGCTTTATGTTTATTTGTATTCGCAGTACGACTCACATCTAACACTCACGTTACCGACCTTTAGGAATAACTCATTTCTTTCTCGCCTATTTGGAAATCGGTTGTTCCTAGTGTCGGTATCTGCTTTGTATAAGGCGTTGGTTTAACGTGCATGATTACTTGTATAGTGCGGATGTATTGACATGGCGTCTATAAAAAGTTATGTATACACTTACACCTATTAGCTTGTATGGATATTGACTATTATTAGCAACTGCATTAATATGTTTATTATAGCCCTATACTGTTGTAATGGTATACTGCTCGAATTTAATATGAATCTTCCCTTTCTTTGTAGTCATTACCATTAGCGCTACTCATTGATGTGGTATCCTACTAATATTATTGTAAATGTGTAAGTTTGTATGTTTTAACATTTATATGTTTGGGATTTAAGTACCCAATCAGGTAGAAACGGCTGAGCAGATTTGAATGGAATTTAAGAAAGAGTTAATTACTTGAATACATAGAATTATTATCATCACATCATCACATCAACAGCCTTTAATAGTCCACTACTGGACATAGGCCTCTCCATAGAAAGAAGGTTTGGCCTACTATACCACGCTGGCCAGACGGGTTGGTATAGGGATTGTATCAAGTTTTCCTTCTTTTTGCAGTGCTGGTGTCCTGCGTTGTTTTGCGGCCTTAGTCGCCTCTTACGACACCCACGGGATGAATTGGGGTAGTGACATTCCGTATTCTTAATCCGTCACTACACGGACAAGAATTACTAACATGAAAAAAATTAGACCCTGTGGGATTATTAAAATCTTTTTGAAATTTTCATGAATGAAGTTGCGAATTAAGTTAGTTTATATAAAATCTTTGGCCAAGAGATACCTCAAATTTAAAACATTTTCCGTTACAAGTTTCTTTCAAGTATTTACAAAGTTCAAATTAGCTATTTAAACAGAGTTCAGGTACGTTTTCTCGTCGTGAAACCAGTTTTATAGTCATTGATGCCTGTTTAATTAATTGTACAATTTCGATTCTTCACTTAAATTTTGAAATACTTATACGTTATTACATGACACCAAAGGGAATTAAAAAATACACTGTGTATTTAAACTCGTAATGAAATATTCAGAAACATTTATATTTTTTTAAATTATTTTTTAACGTGGGAGAGCCATACTTAGGCCAGCACATCCTATATGTGCTGGCCGAAGTATGGCTCTCCTCACAGAAATCCGGTTCACCGAGTGAGTGAGGTTACCAGATCCCAAATCCCCTTCCCATTTCCAAGAATTTAGAGGGGTCCCCACCCCTCTAAATTCTTAAAGAGTGCCCATCAGGTGACCCGTCTGCTTGTTTGCCCCAATACCGTAAAAAAATTACGCTACTTAGGTAATATACACATCCATCACATTTATCATAAGGTAACGAAGCAAATAATTATAAGATCATCATAATAGAATAAATAAAAAATAGTTAATAATTTGTGCCAGTACTCCGCATGGGGTTTTCTTTCTCTCAATATCAGAAGAATCGGTCAATAGTCCAATTCGCTTTCGTATTTAGGGGTTCAAAACTTAAAAAACAGTCGAAACATTCGAAATAATAGCTACCTAGCAGCTATGGAAAACATAGTGAATGCTTTCTTCGCCGTTCAAACAAATGTTAGTTATATTTCCTAAGATCATACATCAGTAATTTTTCAAATCAACTATTTAGTAATTTAAGTGCCCAGCAATGATAGTGAGACTAAAATAATAGTTGGCAAAATGTTGGCATTTGACACGCCTCTGCCTGTCCCTTCGTAGATACATCCGTGAGTATATGTATGTAAAAGTTCGGCTATGTAAACAAATACCATTCTCTTTGTTTATCACAATATTTAAAGTATACCCGTTGTCACTTAAGTCTTCACCACGTCTTAATGTAAGAAGCACCAGGACCCATCGATTCGACATTTTGCATCATTAAAATGCATTATCTGGTTGCAACGGCACGGTTTAACATTGCAAATGGCATTGAATTTGCAATCGGTCCCTCTTGGTGGTAATTTTTAACGACCGCCTCTGTTCGTAATAGTCCTTGAATTAATGTAGTAACTTCGGGGATCTCGTTTAATTTATTAGTAAGTCCATGTAGTACATAGTTTGCACAAATAATGTCTCTTCCAATTTAATGGCTGCGGTCGTCTTGTTTCTTATTCTAAATATGAAATCCTGTCCGGGTAGGGTATAATAGTTTAACGAAAACAATGTCCACAACACTGGCTTTAAATTATTATTCCAAACTGAACGAAGTGTTTGAATAGTCACAGATCATAAATATCTATTTTAAAATTATCTTGTTTTAAAATTTTTACAAATTTGAATTTAATTCAAATTCAAATTATTTTTAGCAACTTCTTCCTCCTTTCTTCGAGCCTTTTTCCCAAACTAGGTTGGGGTCGGCTTTAAGTCTACTACGATATGGCTGAATTTCGATTTTTTTACGCAGAGCGACTGCCATCAAACGTCTATAACCCAAGTACTAGGCGATATCGAAGTTCTGTAGAAAGACTGTTGTTGGACTTAAGGCTCCAATTTCCCATAACAATTGCCACAGAACAGTGTGGTAGAATATAATTATTATTATTGGGATTTGGATGACGTATTATAATACGTCATCCCAATCCCATGAATGATTTTACATGACACATGTATGCTATATAGATATCAATAAAAAATCATTTATGTAAGATAATTCAAATAGCATTGGTATTATGAAACCAGAACAAGGCTTATTATTATCATGAGACATTCGAATACTAATACGTTATATGAATATATGCGTATTGACGCTGTCTATGTTTTACAAGTTTTCATCATCATCAACAGCCCTTATTAGTCCAATGCTTCACATATGCCTCTCCTTAGACCCTGGCGAGATGGGTTGGTATAGGGTTTGTGTCAGGTTTTCCTTCTCTTTTTTCAGTGCGGTTTTTACTGCGTAGTTGGCTCCCTTAGTCGGTTCTTACGACACCCACGGGATGAAAACACTCAGTATTCTTAATCCGTCAACACATGAATATTAAAGTTTTAATGTTAAAATAAAACTCAAAGCCTTAATACTTAGGTCACGTAGAAATCTTTAGAACTAATAGATTTATAGCATCGAATAAAGAGTCTATTGGAAAGGCGTCGATGTAGTTTGAATTCGTTTGTCACTTTTCTTGTTAGTTTGTAAAACTGGTCAGTAAAATATTAAAATTTCAAATAGAGAAATCTTTTTAATAGCGTCAATGCATTTTGAGTGTCTTTTAAAATTGATCTCATACCTGAAATAAATATGAAGAAGTATTCATCATTGTTTACTCAGAGAGATTGCTGATTGATTCGTAATCAGTAATGAAATCATGATATATTAATTCAAAAATGTTAAAGGCCTTCAAAGTAAACTTAATTACGACTAATCACGATATATATTTCAATAAGTTTAAAGACATTCAAAGTAGACTTCATGACAATTTAGTCATCTGTTCTTCGTGCTTCTACAGAGCAAGTCTAAGCTAAAGCATAATATTATTAATATTTTCGCATCAGAAACTCTTTTTCTTGAAAGATGAGACGGAACGGAATATCATAAACACCAATGCATAGGCGGTTTTGTCAAAAGCCTTAGAAATCACATCTAAAATTAAGTGGAAAATCATTAAATTAATCGTTACGAGATTAAAAAACTAAAAAACAATCTGCACAAAAGATACTCTTTGAACAAAAGGGCTTTCAAAATAGGCGTTTAATTTTCATATCAAACTACTCTGAATTTAAGTTATTTTGGTAAGATACATTTTACTTCGGACAATACAACTCAAAGAGCAAAAATTAAAAAAAAAATTGAATTGCTTGAACAATGTGTTCAGGTACTTCATTTTTTACTATATCTTAAGAATCGTGTATTGATTACTGATCACATTATTTTTCGTATATCTAAAACGTTCTGTTTTAAAAGTAATAAACTAAAACGAATAGTACATTATTTTTATAACGGAACGTCAATTTCATCATCACTAACTCAACTAATAATTGCTTTATCCTAAACTTACACCCAAATTTAAAAACATTATTAAGCACTGCGAAACGTCATTTTGCAGTGCTTAAGAACGCATAAGGGTTGGCGTATTCTATTCTTCATGAATAGCGCACACTGCACTATTCGTTTCGATAGCCAGTAATTCATTTCAAGTCTAGCTATGCAATCATAGGCATAGCAGTCTTTATGAATAAGGTTGTAAAAAGCAAAATAGAAACTTTAGAGTTTTGCCAACACATACTGAACTTTATTCCTTTGTAATTGAATTCAGGAATTCCAATTATTACAGGTACGCCTCCGGTCAAAACCATCTGACAGATTTCATTGGCATGGAACCGAGCAAGAAACGAAAACGACGAACTTCATTCACACCTCAGGCTTTGGAACTACTCAACGCGCATTTTGAAAGAAACACCCATCCGTCTGGTATGTATTTAACTTGTAAAAATACTTTAACTGTCTACCTGAAGGGCTTTTGAAGGGGGTCATTCCATCGATATTTAGGTGTTGAAATACCTTAAAATTGAAATTTAAGTGTATGCGAGATGGCGTTCGACATATTTGAATCTTGCGGGCATAATACGGTCAGATTTACAGCTGTCAATAAGCACAAGACAGCTAAATCTGTCTGTGTGTTCGCAAAAACTAGTGAACGGGTTTTGATGATGAACAGCAATAAACACAGTGATGCATGAGGAAAGTTTAGGTGTACAATTTTTTGGCACCAGGGACTTCCTTTCTAGGGTATACCTGGTTCCCCGGCTATTAGTACCCGAGACGGCGTGCGGTTTTAGTCGGTTCGAGTCCGACATGCCACCGATAGGTGGTATCCGAGGGGATTTCCGCACGGAAAAAAAAAAGGTGTACAATTTGTTATGGTTTTGTGTAAATTGGTTGAAATATTACCTGGCTGGCTAGGCAGGTTTTAAATAATCTACTGAATCATCCCAGTATTCTTATAGTTCAACAATATCTATTACACAATCAAATACTTTAAAAAACTTTAGTATAATTTAACTGAACCCTCGTACTCATCTTTTGCAGAGTATTATTTATTGACTTTGTGTATGAGATATATCTAGATATGCAATCTTCATGCCAGCTAACGTCGGTTAGATTTAATAAGATGCCCAAAGATTTATCAAAGAAATACTCCATCCGCTGATAAGTATAGCACAAAATAACCTTAACTTCAATTTTTAAACCAACTCTTCTGATTTTCTGAAGAAAAGAAAGAAAAAGAAGTAAAACTTGAAACAAACCCTATACCAACCCGTCTGGCCAGCGTGGTATAGTAGGCCAAAACCTCCTTTCTAAGGAGATTCCTATGTACAGCACTATTAAAGGCTGTTAATGATGATGATCATGATGTAAACAGCTTGGAGAAAATTTAATAGTTATATTTAATCATCAATCATTTAATTAATTTGTCTAATAATAATATGCGATTTATCTTCTTTTCCAGGAACTGAAATTACCGGTTTAGCGCATCAATTGGGTTACGAACGTGAAGTCATCAGAATATGGTTCTGCAATAAGCGGCAGGCGCTCAAGAACACCGTCAGAATGATGTCCAAAGGCATGGTCTAAATTAAAAAAAATGACCAACGATATCTATGACTAACGTGATAAGAAGACGACAACGCTTAGTGAGGAGGTGCGACAATGGTACAATCGATATCGATGGTTTCACTTGAAGATCTGCACGTAGATTTGTGATCTCGTCTAACTTGATATTCAGTATAGTTATTATTTGCATCGATAGTGTCTTATTTATAAATGGCAAATTTTATTTTGATTTCTTTTTATTGTGAAATGTCTGGCCTTAACCGCAAAATCTTTGTGCGATTCCAGCCAATATAAATGTGAAAGTAGGTAAATAGTATTAAGTGTAACGTAAATGTATTATAAAACAAATTTCGACTGAAATATTCGTCTCGATGTAGTTTACAATGATATGAACGGAATGTTGTAGTAATTAATGTAGGCGTTTACTAGTACAAAAGTAATGAAATTGAATTATCAAAGTACATTTTCTCTTGCATAACAAACTTTCCATTTCGGTGTTTCTATTTATGAATAAACAAAAGCAAGAAACAACCAATACTAAAGAAATAAAAACTTTTTACGCTTTTTATAACAGGGACGGCCTAACAAAATGACATAGGGCTCAATAAAGTTCCACGTTTGATATGACATACGACCTTTACACTTTTAGTTTATATTACGTAAATATATTATTGCATTTTGTAAATAAGTACAATATTTTTAATTTTCGTCAATAACATGTAATGTAGCTGATACATTAATTTATTAAAAATACTCTCAGTTGTTTCGTTCTACTTAGCGAATGTTGCACTTTATAGTTATAAGATTAATATCGATATTATGAAGGTAGTTAAAATGTGTCGTCAATCTTAGTAACCTACTAAGAATTTTTTTATTAATCTACAGTAGGTTTTTGTTGATAGATAGGTATAAAACGATATGTATAGAATAATTAAATATAATTATCTAATATTGCCGTAAACTGTAAATATTGTTTTCGTAATTTGATTTTAATGAAATGTATTATTAGTTTTATGTATTAAGTATAATTTTATAGCTTTTTAAAAAAGTTTATTGTAATTAGGTACTATTCAAGTTGGATTTTGTGGCGATATAAATGATTCGTTTTAAATTTCATTCAGCAGTATGTTTATTGGAGTATATTTATGAACTTTCACATTTTCATAGAAAATACAGTAACAGGGGGTCTTGAAATTTATAAGTAGTTGATTATCTGCGCCTATATCTCGGACAGTGAAATGTTAAACTAATGAAATTACCTCGCATTTGGAAATGTAGAATTTGAGATTATACTTATGAAATGTAGATTTTCCAAAAATACTAAAATTTGACGTTATATATAATTATGTTTTAAGAGATAACACAAACGAGAAATATGCGCAAATAATACATTTAGCATCGCATTGTGTCTTAGTCGAGATCACGTCCATTTTAAGATACATTAGAATATTCGACACATTATATTTTCGATGAATAACCTCGTGGATCATCAACTCGTTCACATTCATATTTTTGTTTGGTCATTATAAATATCACCAAGTCTACGGAGACAGGTGCCTTATGGATAGTTCGAACAAACAAAATTTATAAACAAACATTTAATTTAAAAATATTTGGATTTGAAAAAGTATAGTGGCAAAAAATGTTATTTCCAAGGTTTGCCTCTCACGAAACATTATGAACCTTCCTATGTAAATAATTTAGTTAGATAGTTTTCAAATAAAGACCTGCTGTTAACTGTATCACCAATAGTAATAAGGTTATAATGTAATATTGTATGTTAATGACCAATGAAAACCAACTTGTGATCATTAATATTTGTACTGTTACCTACTACTTAACAAGAGTCGTTAAAAGATAATATTATAAAAATTGAACATATTTTTCGGCTGTTGAAAAATTGTAAATACAATATTAAGGATAATAAAACTATTTGGATTAATATTTAGGAACAAAAGGAAAAAATATTATCAAAATTTATATTTTCAAAAATTATTACAAATGCAAAAAAATGTGTATTTAAAAGGAAGGTTTGGCCATAAAACAAAAAGACACATTCTAGGAACGGATAATTTTATCGACTTACACACAACACTACACACGCAACAGCAGTACGGTAAACAGTGACTTAAATTGTGCGATGCGGTATTGCACGTAATCTCTGTACTTATAACGAGGAGTCAGGTTTCTCAAAAGGAAACCCCCTAGCAAATACATTATTATACGTTATTGAAATTGTTTCAATAGGTATAGCTAAAAATCTTACCATAAAATCCGTCAATGTAAGCATATAATTAACTTTTAAGCCGTGAAAAATCTGACTCCCATCAAACATTAGCGTAATAGTTGGAGCATAGAATGCTAAGTACAAATGATATAATTTAACGATAAAAACTACTAGTCCCGTTAAAGGTATAATTAAAATAATTATTACATGGCAAAATCGCGTTGCACCCTGGTTTTCATGATTCACATGTATCTGTAATAATAATAGTAATACAATTATTAAAATCTACACATAACTTCAGCTGTAACACATATTCAAACCAAACTGTAACAGTAATAATGTAATAGTGTATTAATTTTTCTTCCTATAATGGTACCGAACGAATGATTATGGCTGCTGGTTTATGAAGAGACGCAGAATAAAGGCAGATAACTGTTTGATTGCTTGTTTTATTGTTTCATCTAACCATCGCCGTCTGTCAACCATAGAGGTCGAACAGTACCTTAAGCAGATATCATGGTCAGCAACTGAGAAAACATTTTGAACCCACGGACCGTTTTACAAGAACTGGACACAAGGCTTTGGTTGTATTTCTGGGTTAGGTTGGAGCAAATTGAAAGTTCTTCCTTTGAATAATTAAGTTTTGACAACGAGTCGCTGATCCCAGATACAAATCGGTGTGGTTCTAATGAAACCGAATCATATACTACAACTCATGAGTATCGTGTTTGATTTCTTACCTACTTTTAAAACTACTTACAAGATCTTTATTTATTATATAGTCCAACATGTAACAGAAAAACGGGTTTCTGTTACATGTTGGACTATATAATTTATTAGATACAGACTTTGTGGTCACTGGAGCACTGGCATCAAACCCTTGTAGTTCGAAACACCAAATAAAAATTTATACATAATACAAATAGTTTAATTATCATCATTAATTAGCACTTACAAAAACACGTTCTTAATTAAGTTTAAGTGCCGCGAATACAGCATAAAGTATTTCAATAGGCATTAAGGAAGATTTGAAGATCCTCCTGACATGGCCATGCGGGACTGTAATAATAATATAATAAAATAATAATATCTCAAACATTCCACGCACGGCCGTCTGTTCCCAAACTAGGCAGAGCTATGGTAACCAGACTGCTGATAAACATACTTAAATATATTTAAATACATACACATTATAGATCAATTACACCCACACACAGAACAAATGACCGTGCTCGTCACACAATATTTGTCCTGGGTGGGCATCGAACGACCTGCGGCTTAGCAGTCAGGATCACTAACCACTAGACCAAGAGGCCCGTGTAAGACACTAAGACGTTCCGGAAAAGATAGAGACAGAGTTGTCTCGGGTCAACTTAAATATAGTTACTTATATGATCTTGGACCTTCCTGTGAGACAGACAAAATAATAGACACTGCCCCTTTGTTTAGTTGTACAGATGATTTCAAATCTATAAAACCTGGAAACTTTAAAAACTATTCGTATGGCCTAGTCTCTAGACCATCTGAATAGTCTGCACTTTCCACAAGGCCTTAGGAAAAGCAGAAGCGGCAATTCATCATCTATTTATTAGTTGAGAGACGGCAGTACTCTTGGGTCGCGGTCGGTATTTGAAGAGAGGTCAAAGGACTGGATGGAGTCGCCAAAAGAAGCTTGTAAACATTACCAGTAGGGTTATATTCATAGATTCTATTAAATAGATACTGTAAAGTATTAATAAATTCTATATTGAAAATTCCCGCTCTTGCCAATGATATTGTGTACATATTATTGGTTTTTGCAACAACACTGTAGGTAAGCGTTTTGTTGATGCTCTAGAGTTTAAAACACAATTTACTTATTCTGAAGTACATATTTAAAAAATAATATAGACCGCACTACATAAATAACAACTGTCATTTTGTAATACAATTTTATAATTCTATATGGTTTTGACCTCTAAAGTTTTCTCTTTCTAGTCTTTGGAGTATGGTGCGATAATCAACCAATAACTAAACGCCAGAGTTATAGAGATGGGCGTAGCTTGTTCAAATAAAATGAAATATATGTTATTATTACACGTCGATCAACAAAATTACAACCATCAAACTAGAATGTTTATTATGAAGGAGATTATGGATTTCTCAATTTCGCAATGATGCAATAGCCTTGTACCATAACAACATCATTTTAGCTATTCTCTTCTTGCATTATTTAGAACCGTTTGATAAGCTAAAGAGCCCACTAAAAATAGATTTAAAATATCTTAAGATCTTTGATGTATCTATCATTAATTACTCTTGAGGATGACTGTATCGTCCATATAGCCTATAGTTTAGTAACCATCGTTGTTGAGCTTTGTTATTATGGGATGAGGCTAATCCCTTTCACACGCCATCTACAGTGAGTGCAGTGAGCCACAAACCCACACGTTCTGACAGTCGAAAGGTAAACTGTCTTGGTACCCACAATTAAATTAATCAGAAGCAGTCATAATGATGTCATATTTACGTCATCTGTCTTAGGTAAGAATCTTACGTTAGGAGTAAATTAAGTGTTATTTGTGACTGATATATGACTTACATCGTACATAATCATGACGTGGCATGACGTCATTTTGATATAATTGTGTTCACAGGGATATAATAAAATTCCAAAAAAATATATTTCTTACTTTCATAAAAGCAACGTTTATAGTAGTCTATTATTAGTATTAGTCTATTAGTAGTAGTAAATTATTTCAAAACACTGCTAGGTAGTCCTAGCAGTGTTTTGAAATAATTTCCGTGAAGTGGATAAGTCGTCTGCACAATAGTTCCTGGGTTTGACTAATCGCCTACAATGTGATTTCTCTAATTTTCATGTCAGGACGGTAAGTGCAATGGAATTCTTTACTTATTTACATATAATCGTGTAGCCAACAGCTGCGTTGTATGTACTTAATTGATAGAAATTCTATAAGCTTGACTCGCATAGATCAACAGAGAAACTAATATAACATTAGAAACACGAGAAACCCAAAATTGTTTTTAATTTAATCTATAGGAAAAGGCAAAAAAATAACGTAGGAATAAATTGGAACGGACTCACAATTCTCACAGATGACATCCAATATACATCCATTTAATAGCAATAGTAGTAGGACCCACCCAGTTGCAGTAAATAGTAGCCATGGTAAATATTCTAATCCATTCAAGCAGGCGATGATGTGCACAATTGAAAGTTGAGTCTAAAGTTCACTACTTCCTTGTAAACCTGTGAACTGTATAAAACTGGATACTTCTCGTCGAAGGACCACTGTTCCGTTCTCTACAACTATATGTACTAAATAAAACGATAGACTTGTAATATTGCGTCATAATAGCTTATAATTTTAGTTTACAAAAAAACATGTGCATTGAGACGAATATGAAGGTACAGTGTCGTGCGTATCAAGTCGAAAGCAAAGACGTTGTATCACTGGAGGGAGCGCTCCTGGCTCACGTGCTGTCACTTCGCCAACACGAGACTGTTTTTATTTCTGATAGGTACTGGGATATTCATCAGAGTTACTGTTTTAATTTTGAAGGTAGGAAAATGAATTAGTTCCTTACATAATTAAAAATTTGACATTCAAATTTCATTCTCTGAACTACAACTTTCTTATGACATGTGGCAGACCAGGTGACATTTATTTTGCGTTATTCTCTTGTTATTTTCACTTGTTATTTTACGTTATAGCTGTTAATCGTTTTCTAAAACTTAGCACATCCCTAGTACCCACTGACAGAACGGCTGATGATTGATACAAATACCAATATGGCGGAAATTCTTATCAGCAATGCGAGCTGTGCAGTGAAATTATCTAATATTTTGGCTAAAATAGAATTTTATAAATAGCGCTTACATGCAGGACATATTATTTTAAGAATAAAGAAGACGTTAATAGACTTGGGCGAATTTTGAACTCTTCTTGATTAACTCCATAATAATATGTTGAATTCTAACAACATCTAACATCTGACAATAATAATAAACATGGCTAATATGTTGACCAGGCGTATGAGGTGAAGAATTGCAATGAACATTACGTCACGTTGCCTGTGTGTCTCAGGAATACCACATCTGTAATTTAGTAGTGTAACTCGTCGCGATAGTTCACAATGATTCATGAGGTTAATTGAGGTTTTACTTTGATAATACGTAATTGGTCGGCAAGCTAAGTATTGTTATACGATAATATAGTTTCGCCTTCGCCGGGCGTTGACTCGTCTGGCAGGAATCCGGTAGAAACGCGAGTGAGTAATCGATGAGATGATCGAGAGTGTCTCAAGACGTGCTTTTAGCAGTTCAAGTGGTACGTACAACGTGCGCGCTTCAGAACTGGCGCGGGAACGAAAGCTCAACATTATCAATGTCACTGTGCAGTTCTTGGATGAAACCCAACAATCTTTTCAAATTGAGGTTAGTAATCTCCAGCTTCTTACTTTTAATGGACATCAATGTGCTGAAAATAGGGTATTCCTAAGTCCCTCCATTTGAAAATTCTGTATGTATGCAGTAACAATTTGATAATGTATATCAAGAGTATATGACAGAAAACTATCACATATAAGAACAATATTATATTCAAATATTTTATTACCTAATTACTTCTTTCCTTGTATTATTCCTGTTAATGCCTGTATCATTTTGTATCTTATTAGAGTGAAGAATCATGTGACAATAAATTATTTCATACAAAATATATTGTTTAGGTTTACAATTTTCTCAAAATGAAGTTAAATATTCTGTCAAATCAACTGTTTTTAATGCTTTCTGGAAGTTCCCTTATTTAAACAGTCAGTTTGTTTGCATAGAAATGGGTAATACATAGTTTGTTCCATTTTGACTTCTTTTTTTAATTAGGTATCACAATCATTTTAAAATTTGAGACGATGTAGGTAATCCAATACAAATTAATTTAACTTGAATTAGAACGTTAAGTTTATCATAAAACTCAGTATCAGATAGACAGATTGAAAAGATTTTACATAACTAAATTATTAAACTAAATATTTAACTCTAATACCCAACATAATTGAATTAGAATTTATATTTATTGCATTAGACTGCCGTTACTTTTTCTGCTCGCATTGCAAGGAAGTACCATATTCTATTAATGCTTTGCATAATTTAGATCTTCACTGTGGCAGAAGTAACTATAAATCCTGAATTTCTCATAGTTGTGAAGTCGGACAATATTCTCATTAAACTATTTTAAACTATATATATATCCATTGATTTACATCTCTCTGTATCCCATAGGTGCTAGACATAAAAGTGTATAGGATGTGTGACTAACCACTCTAATATTTTTATTGTAGAAAAAAGCAAAAGGCATAGTTTTGTTGGAACAAGTGTGTCGTCATCTCGAGTTGGTAGAAAAGGATTACTTCGGACTACAGTTCACTGAAAATGGTTCACCACCTAGTGCTACCAATACTGAAATAACAGTGAGTATTATTATTTAGTTAAATGAGATCAAATGTATTTTCTTTACACAGAGCTGACTGATTTGAACATTATCATCATTATCAATCATGAAACATTTTTTTGTTAAGCCCATGAAAAACATTTTAACTCTATAGTCTGGCATTCAGAATTACTGTACATCTGACCTCTGAAAAATCTTTTCTTCTCTTTGAAGCGGGTTGTATATCGTGTCAAAATTTTAACTCGATTGGTTGACCTTTTGAGTTATATATAGATGTTGCCCATTTTGATTATGAAACAGGGTTTTATCAGATGTAGCAGTCTCGATTCACAAAACAGATTTCAAAGCACTTGTGTCTATCATAATATGTCATCCTATCAAGATTAGTTAATGTTAATAAACTTAAAAACATTTTATATTAGTTTATTCAGGTGACATACCGATAGCATCCATAAGAAATCAATTTTAACACAAACCAGCATATGCATGTTTTACTATTTCATCTATAGTTTTGAAACTATTGGATGGATATTCTATCAGATTGTTTCATAAAACATTCCATAGCATAAGGAAGAAATTTTGTAGAATATAATTTATTTATACCAAATTGATGAGTATTATTACTAATTAGGAATAAAACCGAATGTCCAAAGTATATTAGGACACAAAAAGACACAATTCCTTTCAATAAATGTTGGGATTGAAGCAGTGGTGCAAAAATAGTAGTTGAGTTAATGACTTGCTTTAATGTAAGTTGTGATTAGTATTCACTTTTATATAAGAAAGATATTTCTTACTCGATTAATGGTCATTACTCCTTTTAATTAATTAAGTTAAACCAGTATGAGAATTTTCTAAATCTGATTTCATAAGTCCATTAGTAATTACTAAAAATACTAACCTATCAACTTAAGCACTATTGTTACTAACAACTAAAATACTAACATAAATATGGCCCATAAGTCTGAAATAAACTTTTATCATTATATTGTTATTAATTTTATTGGTTGTCTCTGTCTGAAATGTGATTGGAAATATTTCTACTTAAGTTTTCACTTGTCTTGTGCAGATCTTATCGTAACGCAATGTATGGACCGCCTTATATTTAGCAGTTAACAGTTTTGGCTTTATAAGTGTCTACTTTTGGACTACTGGTGCTTCTCTGTACTCCCACATCTCTGAAGATTAAAACATTTTCTACAAGATAATTAGTACTGAAATGCTATTCATAAATCTTTTAGAATCTTTATGTATAATCACCTGTAATGTAAATGCTAGAAAAATAATATTCAATTTGCAATCATGTTTCACGTATGTATTTAACTGTCGGAAGTGTTTTTTTGTTGTTTCCGTAGCAATTAGTAACATGCACTGCTTTATAAATAGGTTAGGTTTTTTTTGTTGATAAAAACATCAAGATGTTATATAAACAGATACTTATTTATTATAGGTAGGTACATTATAGAAGATACAAGAAATGACACGAACACGAACATTAATAACTTTTATATGCAACAGGTTTTTGCCCGGGACACCGCCCGCGTGTATGTCGGTTATCGCGGTAAAATGTAGCCTATCTCTCCTCAAGACTCCGAGTATCTGCATGCTAAATTTCAATAAAATCGGTTCAGCGGCTTAGCCGTGAATCGTTACAGACAGAGTTACATTCGCATTTATAATATTAGTAGGGATTTGTACCTCAAGAGATGTTAACTTCACATTTATTTAATTTTACCATGAATTACGATTACGTCCAGTTAAACATTTAGGCAGGACTTGTCATATTACTTACTATATACTATACTATACTACAATATATATATATATATATAGTTTATTAATCATCATCATCAAAAGTCTTTAATAGTCCACTGCTGGACATAGGTTACTTCTTAGAAAGGAGGTTGTGGCCTACTACTCATATACCACGCTGGCAAGACGGGTTGTTATGGGGTTTGTATCAAGTTTTCGTTCTCTTTGCAGTGTTGTTGTCCTGCGTAGTTTGCTCCCTTAGTCTGCTCTTACGGGATGAGTAGGGACGGTAACACTCCATATTCTTAATCTTTAATTATATTAATAAAATCGGGTAAATGCGTCTATGTATGGTAAACTTCTACAGCTGTACATATCGAAGGTTGAATGAAGGCTATAATATAGTGTGTTATCCAGCGACGAATACAAGTGAATTGCATTCATTTTCCTATTTTATCGCAATCTGCCATCAAGGAAGCAGATTTGGCATTAAAGTTAAGTTGTCATTTGTACCACATGGTGGCAAAGTGCCGGCCGCCAGAAACTACTTGATTACGACATATAATATTTATACTAAAGGAAGCCTTGCACGGTCACCTTCGTACAATGACTCACGAAGTTGTATGTAAAACATACGTCATTCTTACATTTAATCCTTTCAGGTCCACTCGAGAGAATATATATTTTTTTCAATTATATCTTCCGTCGATGACTCATTACAGAGGTATTCTAAGTATAACAGATATTTGAACAGGTTGAATTTCTGATTAAGAACGTGGTAATCATACTTCATTTGCATTTTGCGATAAGTCGCACTTGAGCCAGACCAATATGACACAATTATAATTCATAGAGAAATACTTCCGGTGGAAGTTAAGGTCTCTTTTCCTTAGGGGGAGGCGTTGCTCCCACACGGGGGGGGGGGGGGGTCGTCTACTCGTCTGTAGATGGCCCGAGGTATATCGGGGCACCAGGGACTTATATATACCAGGTATACCTGGTTCCCCGGCTATTAGTACCCGAGACGGCGTGCGGTTTTAGTCGGTTCGAGTCCGACATGCGGTATCCGAAGGGATTTCCGCAAGGAAAAAAAAAAGGGGGGAGGCGTTGATACGTCCCCCTTTTACATCTACAGAATGATCTCGTGGCCCTGGTACTTCGGTTTATCTATTTCTTTTGATGATACGCGGTTACCGGTGTTGTTATAGAAGGTATTGAAGTGAAAGAGAGAATTGGTTTAACGTTGTAATTTTCAAGCAATGCTCAGCAGTAGTATTACACCCACTTAAAATGTACAAGGTACTTTGTCATTCTAAAATACTTACCTGCTAATATTTTAAATTAAATATTACTTATATGTAAGACTACGTAAAATACTGCTTGGCAACATAGTATTTTATGAAAAGCTTCTATTTCAGAATTCACTACGCATTATTAATATATCTACAACGTTTATATTAATAGCTTATTGATAATATCACCCTGGTTAATAGTTCTACCTGAAACCGAAGCGCACACACATCACTCATTCACATCGCCTTATAATTATAATTCCCTGTGGTGACGGATTAAGAATAAAGAGTGTCACCATCCTTATCCATCCCAAACTACGCAGTACAAAAGCACTGCAAAGAAAGACTTATTAACTTTAGCTTAAAGAAAGACCTATGTCCAGCAGTGAACTATTAAATGCTGCTGATAATCATATTGATAAATATGTACCACCATTTTCATGCCGGGGCTGGTTGCAGCCCCGGCATGAAAATGGTGGTGGTGCTGTTGAATTTTTGTTTGACAATACCGCTTAAAGCATTCAGTGTCATAGTGTCATGAGACCCTCGGACCCCAAACCCTGAATGCCAAGTTGTGTTGGAGCTTTTCAAGTATGACAACGAATTAAATAAACCAAAATCGCTACAATCTTGCCAAAGGTGCTGCGGAAGTCTAAATTTATCGTTTGACGTAAATGTGATAAACACACATTGGGTAGAATCATTCGTTGCATAAGTAGTTAGGGGGCGTCCATTAATTACGTGAAGGGTTTTCGGCAATTTTCTGAGCTCCCTCCCCAATGGTGAGATGTCGTGAGATTTGATTCAACCCCCTCCACATCCCCTAATCGCACGTGAGATTTAAAAAAAAATGTATTTAGTGTAAAGGCTGGCGGTGGCGCGTAAACAATCGACGGGGTTGCGACTGTGCAACTTCGCGACACTCGCAATACCATGATAAATATTATTGTATAAAACTTGGCCATATTTCTGTTGAGGAACAAGTTTTACTTAATTTAACCCAGTTTTCTCACAATTTTACTCTGTTTCTTGCGGATTAAAAATTACGGGATATTTGACGAACCCCCCCCCCCCTCCTCTTCCCAAAGTAAGATTAGATAAGATTCGGCTCGATCCCCGGACGCCTTACGCAATTAATGGGGACGCCCCCTAAGGTTCAAACTAGTTTTCGGTTGTGGTTCCAGCCTTCTCGATGTGTATTAAACAAAATAATAATAACCTCATATCTCACTAACGGCCGTTTTATTATTAAATTATTTTAGGAACATATATTTCTTTATAAAAGTAGCGAACTCGGTTTGAATTTCGCGTAATTCTTGCAATTTCTTATCGTAACTTGACTAACTTATCATCACATTTGAAAGTTTATAAGAATGAAATTAATGAAAAATTATATTTGATTGCCTGGAATAACCGTGATGCGTTTGATGTACAAAACTATGCTTATGTTCAGTATTTTATCGCTTAAAGATGGAGGTAACGTGTTGTTTTCGTGGTCACACTATCCACAATTGCAGTCATGCGCTGCGACACGCACGCTTGATTTCCTTATATTTACTATAAAATGTGAACCAAGATTAACAGGTAGACGATAGCCTTCAAACCGAGTTTATCTCTATAGCAATGACACTAAACATAACTTCTGAATTTCCTTATCCATTTATCAATTGAATATGACTGAAGATTTTTAATCTGCCTTCTCTGTTTACTTACAGAGATATGTAATAAATAGTTTTGTATTTTATCTGATTAACCAAATAATACTTTTATTAGCAACTTGCTGATTTCTTCCGACTAATAAAATCGTCAACTGGATTCATCTTTACCTTGTGGGGAAATGGGTGTTATGTCCCTCCAATGTAAACCAAAGATCCGCTAATAACTCCTGGCGAATACGGCCCTACAGTAGATATTGGGATGTATATATAAATAATCGCTGCAAAAACTTTCATAGCGCGATACAGAATTAACAGTTGTTCCGTAGTTCGGTGTCTCTTTGTTGAATGGGATTGAAGTACGTTTTTGCTTGTTGCTAACATGCATACACTGACGTAAGGATTATTTGTGAAGTTCGTGATTTCACATCAATTAAGAAACGAAACGTCTAAATTGTGTTTTATTTAGTAGTATTTATAACAAAATACCTTTAAATATAAAGGTATTTTGTTTTATATAATTACCTGCTTTTGCTATCTTAAAAGTTAACATAGCAATCATATAAGAATCGCCAAACTGCAACAGGTCTCTTATCACAGGATACAAATCGAATATTTGCTATCAATCAACTGGCATTTTACAACTTCTGGTTGATATAATCTGTTACTGAAATGTAATTAAGTGGATATAAATCTTTTTATTATTATTAGACAAGGTCGTGTTTTCATTTTTGATTGAATGATTCTGTAAAATACCAGATGACTCATAGATAGCTGTTATTTTGTCTATTATTGAATTATTCCATCATTTACATGCTTAGAACAATGATATGTTATGAGAATGGATTGTTTTATATACATTTTTATAATGGAAATAGTTATTATACGCGTAGTTAAAAAATCAATGTCATAAATATTTTATTGTTATAATATAAGTATAGGCACAGATAAGATAATCGTTCATCGGTGAGTTAAATTATTACGTAAAAGTATGAGGCAAGGTAATCATAGCCGAATGAGTTCGATTTTCGGTCATTTTTGACTTTTCAATGTCAATGACTACCTACTTGTTTTCCGTACCGCTTTTCGTCCTTACATTCTTCTTATATTTTGCTCTCTATAGCTCACCTTGGTAGCGCCATGCGCCGAGCTAATGAGCCGGCCCGATCTGAGTGATATCAGGGCCGATTGACTGGGGTTACCAGAGGATTGCAGTTCTTAGAATTTTTGTCATTTGTTCATAACACTAGACCACTACGGCATCTTTGTCTCAGAACTCATCACGTTTGATGAGTTCTGCATGTAGCTGTATGTAGAAATGTCAATGTTAAGACGGATGTACATTGATGTACAGTTAAAAAAGTATCGGGAATGGATTTGTTTATGGTTTCAAATTCAAATTTTTGTTTTTTTGTTGTTGTTGTTAGATTGGCACATCTGTTTTCCATTCTGGCGCGGAGTTTGAGTTGCATCTGTTATTTATATTAAATACAGTACTGTTTTTAGTTATATCATATCTAGTGTGTATTGCTAACTTTATAATGGACAAAAACATCGAACAAAGAGTTTTTCTTAAATTTTGCATCGCCAATAGAATTTCGTGTTCGGAGTCACTGAAAATGTTACAGAAGGCTTACGGAGAATCGACTTTATCAAAAACACGTGCTTATGAGTGTTACAAAGTGTTCAAAAGCGGTCGAGATGTGATGTAAGATTTGCCTCGCTCTGGTAGACCATCATCGTCTGCAAATGAAGTTGACATCGCAAAAGTGAAGGAAATAGTGACTGAAAATCCACATTCAACTTTGAGAGAGATACCCGCCGAACTGTCTGTATAGTCGATCCGTACCATTTTAACTAATCATTTGGGTATAAAACATGTTACCGCTCGGCTAGTTCCAAAAGACCTGAATTTTCTCCAAAAACTCAATCGCATGAGTCGCTGAGGACATGCTAGAACTAGTCAATTCCGACCCAACATCCATGAAACGCATTGTTACTAGTGGGTTTACGAGTTTGTCATGCAAACTAGTCAACAAGCTTCGGAGTGGCGCCTTTCAACTGAACCGAAAAAGAAAAAACAACGCCAAAGTCGATCAAAAGACAAAGTCATGCTGACTGTTTTCTTTGACTATCGCGGTGTTGTGCATCGAGCATCGAGCAACCACCATATTTACCAGATATGGCTCCAGCCGACTTCTTTCTTTGTCCTAAATTCAAATTACCACTTCGTGGCATCCGTTTTCAATCGGTAGAAGACATAAAGGAGAATTCGCGGCGAGAACTGAACTCAATTCCGGAAACAGCGTTTAAAAAATGTTTTGATGATTGGATTATTCGTTGGCGTAAGTGTATCGTTTCTGAAGGTGATAAAATAAATTTCGGTGAATAACAAATATTTTGCGTATTATTGATCTTTTCCCGGTACTTTCTTGACAGAGTAGTATGGTGTGCTGAGGATGGATAAGGTGAGGAGTGAATTCATTGTAGGAAGGCTGAAAGTAGCACCAGTGGGTTGAGAAGCATCAGGTTATCCTGGACATGCCATGCGTAGACATTAGCAAAATGTAGTGAAGAAAGTCTTAAGAGTAAAAGTTGAAGGATATAAGAGTAGAGGACGACCAAAGATAACATAGATGGACTGCGTGAATAAGGATATGGCTAAAGAGTAAGCGGTAATCTAAAGAGTAACCATTGCGCCGACTTCAAGTAAATTTAGGAAAAGTTTTAGACGATAATGATTACGTTTGATTGTTCTTTTTTTTTGTCTACATATCTGCGTAGTCTGTGTAAACATGTAACATTTTTGTTTTAAGAGTTCTTTGCGCTCTTTGTCTACTATCTATATAGTATAATATTAATAATAGCCTTTATTCAGACACAAAAAGGATATTTACAAAATAATAGTCTTAAGTTATCGAATCTGCTGAGTCGATGACATCGACAACTTCGTCTGTTTGCCCAACTTCGGCAAAGGCCTCCTCCATTTCTTTTCACTCTACTCGGCTTTCATTGTCAATAGTTTTCCTGCTATCGCCTTTATCTCGTCTTCCCACCTTCAAATCCGTTTGCCTCAATATAATATACTTGTTTTGACATAATTAATAGTTTTTAGTACACACACACAGGGTTGCACACACACACACACAAGCTATATCGGTCAGCACTTACCATCTTATCGAGCGTAGGGTGTTTATCTAAAATTTTGCTTGAAGAATTTTGAAATAACGTATTACCGTTATAAAAACCTGATGTATTATTAGGTCAGCTACGACTACAGAAAACATCTGTCATCTCGTCCCGACTTTTTCTGCTTTCTCAATGTTTTGGCACAGTTTTAGCAATGTCATTACTAATTATAATACTGTAACTATGTTGAAGATAGTATTTAAAACTAACCAACCTGACACGTTTCACCATATCGTATCAATCGACTAGTGCCTTTCCTATATCCAGCACTGCTACCTATTAAGGATGCTTTATATTACATATTAGTAATTACTTGTAATATTATAAAAGTAATTACATAATAGTATTAATAAATTTAAGTGTTCGATGCAATAATTTCGATCGAACACCTTTTGCTGATCTAGCAACATAACGCGGTCGCCTTAAGTTCGCGGCGACATCAGTGCATATTCGGACAGCAAACCGGGTGCATTCGTAACTATTAGCAGAGCATATAATCGCCCATTAGCATTTTAGCATAGCTTAGTACCGTTATACTTTTTATAATAATAAACCGTGATAGAGTTATCGAAGTCTTTAATTTAGTATCGAGCTTAGCAGCCCATCGCACGTAGGAAACGTATCCTACAGTGTAAGTGTCTCTTCTGTAGCTGGTACTATTATTTATTCTATCAATTGGTTTGTACTGCGTAACGCTGACACATGGGTTTTCATTGTCCCATAAGGAAAACCCAATGGTCAACAATACGTAATTTTCACATAAGTCACATTTCCCAGTTTCTCATTAATACTAAACAATAGACAGAGAGACACATTAAATATTATAAAGTAGATTATTTACATTTAAGATAAGTTTAGTCTAGGATTATTTGAAAAGGTTGGCTAGAAAACCAACACGCCAAAAATAGTGTGCACTTTGTAAAAAAAAAAGACTGCTTTAAGAACTTACTTTCGTTGACTAGCACAGAGTATATAGAGTAAGAACGAAGAAAGAGTCTACTTTTAAGTACGTATTGCTTGGTTTTATGCTCCGTGGGTCTGTGGACAAGGTCCGACCCGATTATAAACGTAAAAGGGGGTTTTAGGCTGGAATTACATTAAGGATCTTCAGAACGTTGTAAAAGAAATCCTTCGACTCGTTATTAAACGACTGAATAGTCAGCATAATTTAAAATTGAAATTCAGCTTTTACACTACCAAAGAAGAGAGGGAATTATGACGTAAGTGTCGACTGTCTAGACGGGGTACGATTAACGATTGGTCACTTACGGACACACCCTCGTTGAGTCACTTATCGTTATCTTAGTTGTTTCAGACTACTCATTAAGCGAGATTTCTTTTACTTACAGCGTTGGCTGGACAGCACAAAGTCAGTTAAAAAACAAGTTGGGGCAAATGCACAATTTTGGCTCGCAGTCCGGTTCTATCCGCCTGAACCCTCTCGCTTATCTGAGGAGTATACAAGATATTTATTGTGCCTGCAACTGAGGAAACTACTTCTTGATGGGAGGATGGCTGCCCCGAAGAACACAGCACTTTTGTTAGCATCGTTTACTGTTCAAGGTATGTATGACAGTTTAGACAGTTCTTTTATATTTGGAAATGGATGTATCGTACCAAATACCTAATGAATTGTTAATACTGCCTGTATTTTTGGTTTTATATGATAAATAAATAAAAAAAACATATCAACAGTCTTCGCACTAACCGTTGCCATTTTGTAATACGTCATGTAAAGTGGTTCGCCAAATTCAAGGGTTATTTATGTCTACTTTGTCTTTGTATAAGATTTATTCACCTAAATTCAAAATTAATAATCTTTTTTTATTTGATGTTTGTTTTATGATTTCAGATTTTTATAATGCTCTTAAATATTAATGAGCCGTTATCTATGGGGTGTGTGTTGTTCTTAAGTGATAAAAGTTTTAGTTTTCCTAAATTCAGTGTCTAACAAGGGCCTGTGCAGTTTCAACTGATTACCTGAGTTTATTTGAATATTAGAGTTGAGAGTTAGATCGCTCATGGGAAAATTATTTGAGTATTGTACAGATGATTCAACTTTGAGTGTATTCTAATTCTAAGGAAAATATTGTTGTGCTTTTAAGTACGGTAGTTGTCATTTTAAGGAAAACAAGTCAGGAGATTACTCATGACTTGTTTTCCTTTTTCCAAACTTTGATTTAGTTTAATATACAATAACTTATACTTAAGTGAAAGCTATGTTCCTTTTATTTTTTATTAATTCATGGAATCCTGATTACTGTTTATTAGTGTATAATATATAACTTTGGAATTGATAAATAATATATAACTTTGACGACCGAATGGCGTAGTGGTTTGTGTAACGGACTGCTATTCCAAAGGTCACAGGTTCGATTCCCGCTCAAGTCAAACATTATGTGTGCATGAACATTTAATGTTTGATTTGGTCTGGGTGTTTCTATGTATAATAAGTATAAATTTACAAAAAAAAAGTAAATATGTATTTATATCAGTTGTCTAGTACCCATAGTACAAGCTCTGCTTAGTTTGGGACTAGATGGCGGTGTGTGAATGTGGTACAATATTATTATTATTATTGATGACCGCGGCAATTAGGTACGTAGGACAGATAGTAAAGGAAGACCATACCCATAACTAGTCTGACAGCTGGTTTATAGAGAACAAATGTAGGTACATAGTATGCAGTTGAATATGTATTTGTGTAAGGGTGAAGGTTTCGAACGATTTTGTAGAATAACGCGGTAGTTGCGTATCGAAATACATTTCAGGTTTCACTTTGAAAGTGTGTGTGTTCCAAGTGTGTACCATGATTTCCTTAGAGTTCGCCCTAATACTGTTTGTCGACATGTATTGTTAAGTCGTGTAAATGCCATACGGTTGTAAGGTTTTCTATTATCATTACTTAATCCAAAAAAAAAGAGAAATTCCAGACAGTTTCCAGACAAATTGACTAGTCTGAATATTATAATCATAAAGTCTGCCACAATGAGAAAGAACTTTATGGTCTCGTAACTTTCTTAAATAAATAAGGATAGATTGTGATTATGGTTTCTTCTAAAAAGTCTCTATATGTCTACTTCAAATAGTAAAATGTTTGATACTTGACTAAACAAGAAAAGGAAAAACGCTTAATTGACATATTATTATTATTTACAAACGTCTACCCAATAAAACCCACCTTGGGTATCTCCGCAGATAAACATGTCTCCGAGAATCTATTAGGTCTCCAACGTGCCTTTAACGGTAGGTCTAGGAAAACTAAAGTCTCTAACTCAACAGAACATCTGTGTGTGTTCAGTAAAAATGAATAATTGAACTGTTCCTATCTGGGTCATGGATGAACTAAGAAGAGGTTGACAGCTGCATGAATTGCAGGTTTTTTATTGTCGGTAGCTAGATACATAGTAAAGTGTGTAAATTGAAATAACGATTTTTACTCGGAATGTGATAAAATAATGTTTTTTAAACTTCCTGCTCTTATCGCATTAATAATACTTATATGTTTCTTTGAGCCGTCATCACTGTACTTCCTATATTCCTACTATGTATTTTCTAATATTCCTAAAGCATTCATTCCTTTCCATCACTTGTTAACAATACGACAGATTCACATTCACCTTTCAGTTCATTCTGTTAACCTTTGAACTAGCTTTTATGACGTCTGCACTTCCGAACCTATACTTTAATATTGACGAGTCTTAAAATGTGTATCTACGTATCAATCCTATAATTATGTTCACGACAATAAACTTGCTCAAGATAGGTATTAAGTTCATACTTAGCTTTGAAATGCCTAAAGTTTCGACTCTCGATCGATAATCGATTAGTCAAGTATTAAACATCCAACGTTGACTGTAAAGTGATTATATCATATTGTGACCAAAAATTGAATCAGTACTCTGCTAGTCTTAATAGTACTTTACTATTTTACTACGAAAATACCTTTTGTGACAGTTATGAGATCACGAGTTGATCGGAACTGAATTTTGACCGAATTTTTATTACGAGAATTAGCCTTTAGGTTGCACTGGCCATGATAACAGTATGACAGAGTCAGAGCGCGATAATTCCCGTAAACATAATTATAAATGATTGCATTTGATACTCGTGGTTTAAAAGTTAGTATGATAAACCTATACAATTAAAACGTTTTGTTGTTGAATCACTAAACGTAAATCCAGTGAATGGCACACTGACATGATATGCTTACTGTTGCACACTGCAATGTGCGAATGTTGGTTCCTCTTCCGTGCCTCTAAACAGTCTCGTTTCTATTTACTTTTATTTTAGCGTGTAAGTAGTTTTTTTTTACTATATGCCATTTAAGGCTTGATTTGATTGACGTGACGATGCAGTGCAACGTTCACAACACGCATAGACTGATGAATGATTCCATCAATAAGTATCTCACTAGTAATAAATACGATTTAGGCAAGTACCTACTTTATTTGATATATATAGTCCTGTACCTATTACATGGAACTTATTGCTACTTTTTAATCATAATCATATGATTACGAGATTAATTTCACCTGTCGTGTGTCGCGACTTTCGTAAATGAGGTGTATTGGGACAATCACATTGCATACCCCAGCAGTAGTCAGCCATCATATGCCAATCCCATCGGCCTCGGTACCTCTCCTCTATTGTTTTCAGGTCCGGGTGAAACTGCTCCCTTGTTCTTCGCTATAGAAGCCAAGATTCTTGAGAAATCGATCCAGATGATTATGGAGATAGTGTACATTAATGGACATATTACATCCTAAGTTCTTAATGTTCTATAGCATAACATTGACAATTTGTGAACAGTTATTGATTTCCGAGAAAGTTTTTAGTAACCTCAACAAATGATTTTTTCTTATTATAAAAGAAAAACATTTGCCATTTTTATCTAGCGTGTTCTAGCCGATTCTAAGTCTGGATAAATCATTTATTTTACAACAAATTAATACAGCAGAAATAACAGTCATCGATGTTTTTTCTTTTTCCATTACATTGGCACTCCGTTTCTCATACGATTTTCTATACTTTTTAACTGTATTCACCACAAATGTAACAAAACACATTTGGCTCATTGAGACAACCTCTTCGCGATGAAGACATGGTATTCAAATCTATTTTTTTGTAGAAATGTACCGATAAGTTAGCAAACCGAGCGTATGAAAGTACCGATTACAGCCAATATTCAAAACTGAAGATAAATCTAACACAAATGTACGAAAAAAATAGTTTTAGTATTACCAATGGACTATTAATAAAAACTATTAACGCTAGATATAGCGTTAATAGTTTTTATAACAAATAAAAAATAAATTTGGTGTAGATATAAACCAAATTTATTTTTTATTTGTTGACCAGTGTTATTAAAAGCAGACTTAGGAAAAAGAATATAAACATTCAATAAAGTTTTATTTATTTATTTAAGCTAAAATCGAGTTACGTAAATAAACCGACGTTTAATGATATAGATATAATATGTAGTTAAAACATTAAGGAAAAGGATAATGTCAGGGTTTCTCTGAGCCCAATACAGATACGTGTGATATATCGTTGAACGGCTGAACTTCGATTTTTTACGTGGAGCGACTGCCATTAGACCACAACTACGCAATAGGCTAAGTGGTACCACTAGTCGGTTACCACTTAGCCACGACCCTTTCTTTATTCTTTACTAAACAGTCCAGCTAAGCCCTAAGCTTCTCTCACAGTTGTATTGTGTCAGACTTTCGATAGGCACGTGTTGTTACTTGTAATAAATTAATAATAATAATATTTTACCACATTCACACAACGCCATCTAGTCCCAAACTAAGCAGAGCTTGTACTATGGGTACTAGACAACTGATATTAATACATATATACTTTTTTTTTCGTAAATACATACATATTATACATAGAAACACCCAGACCAAATCAAACATTAAATGTTCTTTTGCACTCTATGCGGCTAAGGTATTATTAATTGATTATGAAGGAAGCTCATCTCTTATTAGGTATAAAATATTTTTCTAATAACATTTTATAGTGGTTGTCTCAATAGCGGGAGTCATACCCATCTGATAATTTTGGCTAATTAAAAATATTAAAGCTTATTATTAAGCTAATCAAATAATTCAAATCTAAAGATGTTTAAAACACTTCAGTAGGTACATTCTATTGTTCCGTGATATTTTTATCCCAATATGCTGGTATATAACACGTATTAAATGACAAGTATGTTACTGCATTAAAATCTTGTGGAAAACCAGTAGATTTATATACTTGTCCTTTTTGTCTATAATAAACTACTATTATATTAGTGTATTATATTATAATAATTTAAAAAATCAAAAAGACCGAAACAGCACGAGAGCACACAGACATGGCCCCATTTTTACGTTAACACTTTTTAAACCAATTTATTATTCCTTATTAAATTTATAATTTATATATATTTTTGTAATCCCCATTCAATTTTTTTGATATTGATACCCTACTTGATAGGTTTGTTTTTTTTTTAACACCATGGGGACAGTTACCCCTCCTGATTGTTGTATTCTTACTCATAATTTATTAATGAAATTGAAGAAATGTTTAAGTCTAATACTGTTTGGCCTCCTCCTAGACCTAAAATTGGGTCGGTCAATGCTTGCATTCCTCTTTTCTTTTTCATCTTACGACTGTTTTACATTTTCCAATAAGTCTAGTCATCCGCATTACTCATTTGTATTTTTGCAGCGGAACTAGGAGATTACAACGTGTCGGAACATCCACCGAATTACCTGTCAGATCTCTGCTTATTACCGAAGCAGAGTGCAGAAGATGAACGTCGTATCAGAGAGTTACACAAACTTCACAAAGGTCAGGCCCCTGCGGACGCTGAGGCGAACTTCTTAGAGCACGCGAAACGTTTGGACTGTTATGGCGTCGAGTCTCACCCGGCTAAGGTAGGCAATACAATACAATCCTCAAGATTGTATAAGTGTTTTGTGTTATTCGGAATGTGATAAGTGTAGAACCTTGTATTGGGGTAGATGACAGGCAAGTCAAATCCGTATATGTTTTTTAAACGTCAAAAAGATAGACGCAGTATATTCTTGTATGAAATACTATGACATGATACCATCTATTCATACATACATCATACATTAAAGTCATACATTGCTATTGTCAAATCATTTATAGATATTATTGATTTGAAGGAAAAGATAGAAATATTAAAGTGACAATTCAGGCTGTACTTTAAGATGTTACAGTTAATGATTCAGATGAAATAATTTATTTTAAGCCCGGCAATCTATTCGTAATTTGTAAGTTCGAGGTGTAAGCGCATGCACATTTAAATTTGTATGAATAATGAAGTCACGGGTAGTATAAACATTTGATATCATTAGTAATAATCCTCCAGCAAATAAGTCGTAGTTTCGAATTTTTCTCTGGATTTTAGGAAACTGTGATAGAAGACGAGAACAATAAGTCCCGACTTAAGAAACGCCAGTAGTTTATTATATTTTATCGAACAGATGAAAATGTAAACATTCCGTCATCGATAGATAGATATTAAAACACAAATGCGGTAATACATTTACGAGGCAATATCAGCACATATATTTCCTTTAGTAATGTCTTTATTTGACCTAATTAAAATACTCATGACAGATAACACTGTTCTATAAGCACAGTGACCTGTATTTAATATAATTATTTTATAGTTTCGTAATCATAGAGCTACATAAAATTACATAACTTATTATAATATCTATTAACCCCGAGTTTTGTTAGAATAGTAAATATGTTATTTGTTTTTTGGAAATGTTAGTGACGGCATGCATGTATTTGTAACATTCTTACTATCAGATTTGAACATTAAATGTGACTGAAATTTATTTCAAAATACTGAATTAAGTGGTCAACATTGATTACAATTTCAATGACAATATATTGTCACCTTAATAAATGGAACCCATCATTGGCCTATAAACATCTTGATTAGAAAATTTAAGCAGCGTCCTGGGTGTTTCGGCACTTTTTTCTGGTGACTGTATAGACCAATACGGGACCCACAGCAACGCCCACAGTGCCCGCAAGTTAGGGATTGATTGCCAGTAACCCACCTACGAGCAGGAGGATTGTGAACGTTGTCTCTTAATTCTTTATTTTTAGAGCGCCACTAAATCAAGGAGTTTGCGTCACCTGTTAGTGGAATCATCCTGGCAGTTTATTATTCAGCACATCTAACTAGGCTTTGTTGGTCCTTTATATGTTATATATTTAAAATCTTTCTTACATTGATAAACTGGACAAGGGTGTATACGAAGTCAATCCATAGTTGACTTTGTATAGATTTTTGTCCAGTTTGTTAAAGTTAAGGCTCTGACTCACACAAGTATTAGGAGGTCACACGTAAATAATACATCTTCTCTATTGACGACTGGATGGCGTAGTGGTTTGTGTAACGGACTGCTATTCCAAAGGTCGCGGGTTCGATTCCTCCTCAAGTCAAACATTTGTGTGCATGAACATTTGATGTTTGATTTGGTCTGGGTGTTTCTATGTATAATATGTATGTATTTACAAAAAAAAAGTAAATATGTATTTATATCAGTTGTCTAGTACCCATAGTACAAGCTCTGCTTAGTTTGGGACCAGGTGGCGTTGTGTGTATGTGGTAGAATACATTATTATATTATATTATTATTATTCTAAACAATTATAATAGATTTTTAGACTATATTCCTTACTAGTTTCAAGATTCTTATTATTTTTGAATTGTAGAACCAAATATTGAAAATAAATAATTTTTCATGGTTATACAAATTTTGACAGAACGTACCGTTTTGACGTTTAGTAAAGAGGAACAGATTTGACTAAAGAATCAAATAGCGTACCTATTATTGTTTTAATATTGTATATTTTTTTGGGAATTAAATAAATCATTGCTATTATTATTTAATACAGTATGAATGTCTCATTTTATCATATTAGAAATAATTTATCTACTTATTGGTTTTGGTTTCAGGATTACAACGGCAAAGACATATTTATTGGTGTTACGTCAATTGGTATTGTCGTTTTCCAAAACAATATTCGAGTGAATACTTTCTCTTGGGGTAAAATCGTTAAGATTTCATTCAAGAAGAAACAGTTCTTTATTCAGTTAAAGAGGGAGCCTGTAAGTTATTACAGTTTTTTTTCTTCTTTAGTACTTATTTCTGCTGAAATATGCGGTGTTTTTTTGTTAAAAATATAGTAACATAAAACATTTACTAAAATTAAATTAAATTTTATTTGTTTTTTTTTGTTTAACCATATTTCAGGTAATACTAATGTACTGCAAAACTATACTCACTTGACTAACTAACGCCTAATTTTAACTTTACAGTCAGAAAGCTACGACACAGTTCTAGGCTTCAACATGCGTTCAGGTCGCGCGGCGAAAGCTCTTTGGCGCTGTAGTGTCGAACGTCACGGGTTCTTTAGATTAAGGGCACCCAGGCGACGTGCGCTACTGTCGGCGTTGGGTGCTTTAGCGGGACTAGCCGCACCCACCGTACCTCGAACTGAGACTATGGCCCTAGAAGACGCGAGGAGATCGAGGTCCTCGAATCGTAGCTTCGTGAGGTAGATGTTTGTATGTTTAAAAAAGAGTCGTTCGATATCAAGTCGTTCTCTCTTGTAATTTAATCTGAATTATAAAGAAAAAAATAGATATTTCTGTGGCACCCATACAAAGGCTCGGGTTATTTAATGATTAAAATATGAGTCCCGTTCGTTCAGACGCAGCGCGTCGCTGGTGCGCGAGCGCTCGGCGGGCGCGTCGCCGGCGGGCGGGGCCATGCGCGGCGCGCGCGTCACGGCCAACAGCGAGCCGCCGCCGCGCGCCGCCTGGACCGACTCCGCCGAGACCATGGACACGCACTCGCACATACCGTAACTACTTTCTTTATTCACAGTTATGCGTGCGGCTCGAAGGACCACTTTAACGTTCGATTATTTCTAATTATGATAATATTCTTTATTAAGATTAATATTTCTGTTATAATATTAACTGTAAAAAATCAAAACAGTGTAAAGCATTAAATAGGTTATTGTTTTTTTTCGATGCCTGTTTAATGCATTGAATTATTTCTGTAATATCTAATTATTTTAAATTCAATTATATATAATTTTTCTCTGGTAAACCTTTATTTAGTGTTATCAATTTCAAAACATTATGGTTAAATTGGCATTAAGTTCCTTCAATTCAATAGGCACAGGTGCTTACACAAAAATTTGTTCAAAGCGTGAAGCTTGTATTTAATTAATAATGGATGAGGGTTGATGTTTACCTAAGGTCTGACATAAAGAAAGTTACCATACCAAGGTTATTGACTAAAAATATTTGCACATTTTACAGTTACCGTGTTTAATTTCAGTGAAGGCGGTGACCTTCTTGAACGCATTCTGCGCATCCCTCTCTCCTATGTTGATGAGTCTGAATCCGCATCTGAGGCTGAATCGATGCCCGGGTCAGTCGGTGTGCGGGTGCGACTGGCGCCCGGCTCCGACGGGTTATTCGGGTTCAATGTGCGCGGGGGCGGCGGGGCTCCCGTCCTGGTGTCCAGGGTCGCCAGCAGGACCAAACTGCATCTACAGGAGGGAGACCAGGTATGTGTTACGGTATTTGGTTTTGGAAATTGATTGAGTGACTACCTTATATATGCAATAATCGATTGTACAGTCTAAGCTAATTTGTTCCGAGGCCAACAGTATTTAATAGATCTTTTACACTAAGTTTTTTATGCTTTTGCTAAGTCTCCATACAGAGTTAAATCCAATCGCTAGGACCTGGTAGCTTCTATCATTGTAAATGCCATTTTATCAATTAACTAGACATGGGACCAAATCACAGTGAACTGTGAATGAACGGTGATTTATCATTCGATTTTTTCGTACGTAGGTCAGGGTTACTACTTACTGACGCGTTGTTGCCAATAAGCTGTTTTCAGACGATGCATAAAGACCCTATTTCGCCTATTTAACAGTAAATCTAGTAATTGTTTTATTATATATATCTCCCATTCCCTACATAAGAATTAATAAAATACTAGATTTACTGTTAAATAGCGTCTAACCTACGTGCCTAGCTTTTTTTTTTTTTTTTTTTTTTTTTTTTTTTTAACGTGTGGAATTCCCCTCGGACCGTCACCCCTCCGGGGTTTACGGCGGGGTGGTGTGTCGGACTCGGACCGACTAACACCACACGGTGTGCCACTCTGCGCCTGTAACAGGAGGGATCCGGGAACAGCTGTTGTTAAGACATCCGCACCCCTCCTAGCGCCAGCCCGCTCCTGGTGCGGGCTACGTCTCAATATATTTTTTCCTCTCTTTAGGCGACGTCCGGCACACGCGGACGCCGCCCCCTCGCGGCTGGCCAAACTAATGGCCCGCGGCCACACTCAGGGCGGCATGAGGCTGTGATAGGCGGGCCTCCGCCGCCCGGTTCGCCGGCGGCGGATCGGGTCCGAGTGGAGGTCGTCCTCCCGGGCCCTCTCCGCCGCCTCCTTCCGCGAGATTACTACCTCGCAGAAGGTTGCGACCGCGGTAAAACAACTGTCGCTACCGGCCATGGAGCGTACTACGGCCGGTAGCGAGAGATCCACTCCGATGACTGCAGTGAGGGCCCGGCGCTGCGCCGCCCATGCGGGGCAGACCGCCAGCGTGTGCTGGGCCGAGTCCTCACTACAGTCGCAGTGGTGGCAGGCGGGACTCAGTTCCCTCCTAGCGACCGAGTGCAGGTACTTTCCGAAGCAACCGTGCCCGGAAAGCACCTGCGTCAGCCGGAAGGAAAGGGTCCCGTGCTGCCGCCCTGCCCACTCGGCGATGACCGGCTGGAGAGCCTCCACGGCGGCGAAGCCAGCGCGTGGAGTCTCCAGCCGGAACGACCAACGAGCCATCGTGGCTCGGCGAGCGGCTTCGCGCCACCTGCGCACATCCTCAGGAGTCAGCCACTCGCCGATAAACTTCGGCGAGCACTTCCGCCTCCAAATCCCACGGGGGAGTTCTGGCCAACGCGCATGCCACCTCTGTCGAAACGGTGCGGTAACCGCGTATGGCTCTGACCGCCATTACCCTCTGAGGGCGCCAGAGGCGTACCCTATTCTGGGCGGTCAGAGCCGCCGCCCACACCGGTGCACCGTACAGTGCCATTGACCGGACAACCCCCGTGTACAGCCGTCTTGTCACGACGCTGGGTCCACCCATATTGGGCAAAAGTCGCCCTAGGGCAGACGCAGCGCCGACCAGCTTTGGAGCAAGCTGTCGGAAGTGCTCGTCGAAGAGCCACCTCCCGTCGAGGATCAGGCCCAGATATTTCATCTGGGCCCGAACCGGTACGAGGACCGAGTTGACCACGATTGAGGCGCCAGGGGGTGGACCACGACGGGGCCCATGAAATAACAGGGCCTCCGTCTTATCTAGGGCCACCCGTAAGCCCAGCGCCTCAATGCGCCCGACCACCAGGGAGACCCCCTGTGGACAGGCGCGCCGCCTCTTGGAAGTTTGCCCCCCGGGCTGTCACCAGGGTATCGTCTGCGTAACAGATTACACCCAGCCCGGGGGGGAAATCGGCGCGAAGGGCCCAGTCGTACCCTATGTTCCACAAGAGGGGTCCAAGAACAGACCCCTGTGGAACACCGCACGACATGGGCCGACACCTCAGATTACCTTCTCGGTCCTCGTACACGACGGTACGCTCCTCTAAATAGTCTGCCACTAGCCGCCTCAGGTACTTTGGCACCCCATGATAGTGGAGTGCTTCCCTGATGCAGCTGAATGGCAGACTATTGAATGCGTTGGCGATGTCTCAGGGCCTCTTCGGTCACGGCCCTCAGGCGCAACACGGCGTCGACTGTCGAACGCCCCGCCCGAAAACCAAATTGGGCGTCCGACAGATCGGGGCCCACCTCGCAGAGGTGCCGGACGATGCGGGCAGAAAGAACCCTCTCAAACGTGCCTAGCTACCCTAACCTACGTACGCAAAAATCACATGATAAATCACAGTTCACTGTGATTTGGTCCCATGTGTACAAATTACCTACCTATAGACTGAATATATTTGTTAAGTCGTCTGAAGTAAACATCTTTTTAACTAGTTTTTACTTTTAATTGAAAATTATAAAATTAATTCTAAAAGACTAATATTCAGATAAAATCAGACTAGAAATTTTCTTATAATCACTAAGGTTACGCTCTCGTCATCGTAATTTACGGATGCCTTGTATGTTTTAGGTGATGTCAATAAACGGCACAGATGTCGACGAATTGTCGCACGAACAGATCGTACACATGATCAGGAACACGAGAGGTGTGCTGACGTTGATAGTGAAACCTAACGGTAAGCATATTATTCCACATTTTGAATTTTAACCCATTAAAATTTAAATTGAGAACGAAAATGTCTAACATTAGAAGATTTAATAATAATAATAACTTCACACATCTAACCAGTCAGAGCCTGTGCTATGGTAACTAGACTGCTGATAAACATACTTATATATTTCTAAAAACATACATACTATAGATAAATTACACCCAGACAGAACAAATCATCGTGCTTAACACACAATTATTTCTTCTGGGTGGAAATCGAACTCACGACAGGCTTAGTATAATGGTTAGTGACCCTGACTGCTGTCAGGCCCGTTAATGGCTGTAGTAAGCTTTCAATTTTAACTTTTATTATAATTGAAACATACAAAATCATACTTTCGTGAACTCGCCTTTTTCACTTCAAAGTAAGCAAAGACAAGTGATTGGATTAAAATTAGTTAAAGTTGATTTCAGAAAGAAAATTCTGAATTTAAAATTTAAAGAAATTCACATGTTTGAAAGTACATCGCCATCGTCACAATAACAAAATACAGTTAAAGGAGTCTTAAGTACGGTACGATCGCAGCGGTGTACGAGGCCGCGGACGGCCCCGAGGAGCCCACGGCGATGTTCGTGCCGATCGACGTGGAGCGCATCGCGGGCGACGCGCTGGAGCAGTCCATGCTGCTGCTGGGCGACGGGCTGGCGGACGGCGCGGCGCTGCGCCAGTACGACGCGCTGCTGCGGCGCCTGCCCGACGAGCCCGCCGCCGCCGCGCGCCTGCCGCACAACGCGCCCAAGAACCGCTACAGAGACATCGCGCCGTGTGAGTACCCTACCACCCACCTACCCTACACCTTAACGCCTCCCTGTTTTCCCACGGCTCAATACCTTACCGGGGTTCACGGTGAAGTTATCGGTCGATATCGTATCGTTCCGTCTCCCTACTGTTCCCGGTATCTTACTTCGAAAATAATGAGAATAACGATAGAAATATCGATTCTATCGATACTATCGATTACACAAAATAAGGATTACCTTATTATTACTATTGTAAGTCATCAACGGTATTACCGTTGATGACTTACAATAGTATAGATAGTATAACGCCTGGCCCAACGCATACTATGAATACTACTAACAAATTTATCATAGATAATTTCGATACTATCGATAGTATTGAACCGTTGACAGTTATGTATTCTATAATGGTATCATCTCCATTTTCTTTTCTTCGCATTCGATATACAAATTCAAGATTTTTTTTTTGTCAAATATAATTTATATTTAACATAATTTTTGTCGAGTGTCCAAAGGTGTATGACCCCACGTCTGGCCTTATCATGGTGAAAGACCATTCTCTTTCTGTTGAAAATTCCAGCCGTTTTTTTCTCGATTTCTTTAGTGACCTTCATTACTTGTTGACGGTAGATATCTGAATTAATCGTTTTGTCGGGCGTAAAAGCTCGTAATGAACGATATCCTTGCAACCCATACATATCCATACACACATCATCACCTTATTGCGTGTTAATGCAGGTTTCGCTACAGTCTGTTGAGCTTGACTACCGTGAAATCATGATCATGGTCTTTGAAATAATTCGGTTTTATTGCGTTTCAAAAGAGAATCGTAAATGAATACACGATTCATTAGGTTTGTTTCAGGGGCTCATGCGGCACCCAAACATCGAGCTTTAGGATAGACGAAATGGGTTGTCATAGATAAGGGTTGTTTCAATATTATTCACATAATATAAAACCATATAATTTTTTTTAATTATCATCCCAGATAATACTATCAGAAATAATAAATCACCCATGTTGATATTTTGAACAGATGACTCAACGCGTGTGGTGTTGAAAAACGGCCCAACCGGCGACTACATCAATGCTTCGTATATCAATATGGAAATACCGACCGGAGCGGCTAACCCTGACACCGTACTCACCTATATTGCAACACAAGGTAAATTGTAAAACTAAACCACACAACTATTTTGTAATTAGTTTTGCAAAATTAAATTACTGTGTAAAGGGCAACAGGGTAGGAAGATCATATCCGCAATACCTTACTTTTGTTTTATATGCTTTATGGCATTTACTTAATGTTCGTTCGATGTCGAAATTTGACCAAAATTATTATTAAAAACTAGCTGCCCCGACGCAGGTCTGTCGCAGTCCAATAGAAAAAGAAAGAAATAAAACATATTTAAGAGTGGCACTCACAATAAAACATATTTAAGAGACCACTGAGCACAAATAGATATAAGGTGCATGTGTTACTCATACATAAACACACATGCACTACTCACATCACATACATGCACTACTCAAATCACACACATGCACTACTCACATCACACATAAACAAATAAATAAATTAGACATTAACCGACACGCACATAAAACTACAAAAATTTACACAATTCTTTAATTTTAGGACTATTTTTTCCCTAACTCAGCACTCAGCCAAAATATTATTGTAGACCTAAAATTTAAACACAAACTCAAGTTTGAAATTGTGTAATCCTGCAGTCTCATCTATGTAATAAAATTATTATTATCATTAACTTTATTACTGGCAATTAGATTAATATTCATACAGCTTATCAACTTACCAAAGATGGTCCTAACGCGCGTTTCTTTTGATAGATGTCAAACATTTGACAGAAAAGTGTTGTTTTGAAGTGATATCTTCCTATGGGAAGGTAAACCGCTTCGTTACGTAACGCGTTACGGCGCCAGTCTGCCTGGCTTCCATTTCTCTCACGCATACGGCAGCGGTAGGCAGGCTCTTCCTCTCTCACTCTAACCCACAGCGCTAGCTGTACTTCGGGCAGACGCTTTACATAAAATTCAAGTAATAAGCTTAAGCCTAAGCTTTTCTCAGGTTAAACAATTTCACAATATTAAATAGTTCAACTTAGATTAGTTTAAGTTATCGCTTCTTCGAGCGTCTCGAGACGCACACGTTTTTTTAACTATTTTCCTGGTAATGATTACATTTTTGCTCTCTTATAAGTAGTACCTTCCTTAGGCCTTAACGAAAATATGAAAAAGAATACCACCCGAATGGGTTCTCGAGTTCTTGCGCTTAGCAACACATTTATCGATTCATTTTCATTAAAATAGATTCGATTCATTTTCATTAAAATAGAGAGACGTGCAAACGTCTACAAAAATTTTTCTACTTTTTTTGCATACGTTTATTGAGAACCATATACATATTTTTATATTATTTAAGTCCTGCAATCAATTGCACTGATATTATTCAGAAATGTATCATTATAAGTATAAAACATTTAATGATGTCGAATTTTTTAAGGTCCCCTAGCGTCGACTGTAGGTGACTTCTGGCAAATGGTGTGGGAATCGGAGAGCAGTTTGATAGTGATGCTCACCGTTCTGACCGAGCGGGGCCGCGCTAAGTGTCATCAGTACTGGGCTAAAGTCGGTACCACGCCTTTGAAAGCCACCAGTACACTCACCATATACACAAATAGTGAGCAGAATTATGGACATTATATAAGGAGAGAAATGACTATCAAGGTTTGTAACATCTAGTAATTTTTATAGCGTTGACTATATTATAAACTATTAAGTATATAGTCTCTATGTTATTACTGTTAGAAGGGGTTATCTAGTGCCTTATTGATTTTTAAATAGGATTTGTATACTATTGATGTTTACGACAGAAATAACAAATATTTGAGTTTGAGATTGGTTCAAATACAAACATGTTTTGGATATATAATTTATGTTCATAGATTATTTTATACATATTCTGAAGTCGGAACCTACTGGTGAGTATTTTAGGATCAGTAATTATTGGCGAGATGGCGTTGAAATTATTACTGCACGTGAAAGTAGAGTGGAAAATATCGGTCCGCGTCAGCAAGTGTTGTGGTTGCAGGAGGCGGGCGGCGCGAGCCGCGCGGTGACGCAGCTGCAGTACACGGCGTGGCCGGACCACGGCGTGCCCGACGACGCCACCGCCTTCATCAACTTCACGCAGCTCTGCGCCAGCCTCAGGAACCGCTCGCCATGTATGTTCAGGGCCTCAATTCTGCTATTTTATGTTCACGCCAAGCCACTGTCATACCACTGACACGCTATTGAGATGCCATCGAGTGGCATATTTATTTTTATTATAATAAAATTATTAAAAGAAATAAATAAATAAAAATAAGTTATTAAAACAATAAAATATAAAAATTATAAAAAAAGAAATAAATAAATTATTAAAATAAAAAATAAAAATAAAAAGAATATGAATTAAACAAATAATTTTCTTATAATTTGAAAATATATTAGGTTTTTTGAGAAAATGATTTATTTATTTAATTATAATAATTTTTTAAAAGAAATAAATTATTAAAATAAAAAAATTAAAATAAAAAAACATTTCCTCAAAAAACCTAATATATTTTCAAATAAGGAAATGATATAATTATTTTTGTAATTTTAATTTTTAGTAATTTGTTTTAATTTATTTATTACTTTTAATAATTTATTATAATAAAAACAAAAAAATCATTTCCTCAAAAAACCTAATATATTTTCAACTACCGATATTTATACCGATGCCAATGGCCACTCGATGGCATCTCAATAGCGTGTCAGTGGTATGACAGTGTCGTGGCGTAAATATAAAATAGCAGAATTGAGGCCCAGCTATGTCATACTAATATTTTTGAGTGAAATACTAGAGCGTTCCAAAAAATGAACGCCAGCCGATAAAAGCAAGTCATGATAGTTATGAGAAAAATATTTTTGACATCGAACGGGTGATGTCGACGTGAATCTAGGTAGATCTGACAACTTCGCGACATGACGCTTCGGTCTGGGTTAAGTCTCCAGTTCAAAACTACTCACTACTACTACGCACACGAGTAAAACGCAATTTCTGTTGACCGCAGTGATCCCGACGGTGGTGGAGGAGGAGGAGGAGGAGGAGGGCTCGACACAGGAGAGTTCGCTGGCGCCGCCCATGGTGGTGCACTGCTCGGCGGGCGTGGGGCGCACGGGCGCGCTGGTGCTGTGCGAGGTGGCGCTCGCCTCGCTGGCGCGCGCGCAGCCGCTCTACCCGCTCGACCTGGTGCGGGCCATGCGCGCGCAGCGCCCCATGTGCATACAGAACGCCGTACGTACTTGTCTCGCTACCGCCCGACATACGCCCTTCCTGACACTTCATGTTACGAGGGCGGGTCAATAAGTCTGTGACTTTTGGAATAAAACACAGATTTTTTTAAAAATAAATCATTTTATTTTTCAACGTAGTCTCCCTTGAGCTCTATACACTTTGTCCAACGCTTCTCCAATTTTTTTATCCCTTCCAAAAAATATGATTTGTCGAGGTCCTCAAAATAGGCCTTTGTTTGCGAGATGACTTCATCATTGGAGACAAATCTTTTTCCACCAAGCCATTTCTTCAGGTTTGGGAACAAGAAGTAGTCACTCGGAGCCAAATCTGGAGAATAGGGCGGATGAGGGAGCAATTCATAGCCCAATTCATGGATTTTTGCCATGGCAACTGCACATGTGTGCGCCCTTGCATTGTCTTGGTGGAAAATAACTTTTTTCTTGGCCAAATGAGGTCGGTTTTTTTTCAAATCGTCATTGAATCGGTCCAATAAGTTGGCATAATATTCCCCATTGATTGTTCTTCCCTTTTGAAGGTAGTCAATGTGGATTATCCCGCGTGCATCCCAAAAGACGGTCGCCATAACTTTATTGGCTGACAAACCCACCTTGGCCTTCTTTGGCGCCGATTCACCCTTAGAAACCCACTGTTTTGACTGTTGTTTGGTGTCTGGTGTGTTGTGATGGATCTATGTTTCGTCCACGGTTACAAAACGGCGCAAAAACTCCTCCATATTGCGATTAAACAACGCCAAACCTTCCTGTGAAGTTGTTACACGATTGCGTTTGTGGTCGACTGTGAGCAATCGCGGCACCCATCTTGCGGAAAGCTTTCTCATGCCCAAGTGATCATTCAAAATTGAAACCACTGAGCCATGCGAGATCCCTACGGCTTCCACAATCTCTTGCACTTTCAATCTTCGGTTGGCCAACACCATATCGTGAATTTTTTTGATTGTTTCGGGTGAAGAGACCTCAACTGGGCGTCCAGGACGTTCGGCATCTTCAGTGCTTGTACGGCCACAACGAAATTCAGTAAACCACTTTTTTACCATTGAAATCGATGGTGCAGAGTCCCCATAGTATTTATCAAGCTTAGCCTTGGTCTCGGTAATGGTTTTTTTTCGCAAAAAATAATGCTTAATAAGCAAACCAAATTCACTTTTTTCAATTTTTTCCTCAAATTACTGGGTAGTCTGATAAAGATAGCTGTCAAACACAAACTAACTGACGCAGCAAGTTCAAATTTTGACAGGAGTCAACTGACAGATGCCTGTTGACAGGAGTAGTGTTGCTTTTTCAGTAAAGAGGTCAGAAATTCAAAAAGTCACGGACTTATTGACCCGGCCTCGTATGTCCGATGTCGTAATGTGTAGTAAAATAAGTAATCATTTTAACTTATTTCTTCCAGAGCCAATACAAATTCGTTTGCGAAAGTATACAAATGGCGTACTCGCAAGGGCTGACGAAAATATCATCAGAAAGCGGATCGAATTGATCGTGAAGCTCGCCGATATAGAGATGTACTGCTCTGTAAGACCCTAGACTGATCTTATAAGGAATACGACTGTAGTGCCGATGATGGAGACCGAACTTTTACGATATAATCCTTCCTATAATTGGTACGGCTGTAAAATGCTACATAACATTGTATGGTTAATTGAACTTTTATTTAATAATAATTCTTTATAATATTGTTTAACGACTTAGTGCTAATATTTGTATACCTTATGTATGGATGTATTATGTCAATCTGTATTGATATTCGTGTTTCTTGGTACAAGTTTTGCTGAGATTGACGATAAACGATGATGTGTAAAATTTCTTAAAATATTATTATCATTACAACGAAATAAGAGAATGAATTTGCACGTTAATATGTTGTAGTGTCAAAAATTACTTTCGCAGATGGATTATTTATCCATTTTATGAAAATGAAATTAAATGAAAAGTTCGGTTTTTATCGTCGACATAGTTATTAAAAATCGTGTGTTCATCGATTTAAGAAATATATTGTAATTATTTATTTACAGTACATTCGGAACAATAATAAATATGCGTTAACAGATACAGGTAAAACATAATAAATTAATGTTGACCCCCTAAGGTTACTAACGGTTAAGGCTAGCACGTATTGAAACTACTGAGTCTCAGGTTATTGTAACTTTATACATGTAAGTTGTACAGGGATGGCATTCTGCAGATGAAATAAATTTAAATTTAGAACGCATCTCATCTATGTTCAAAATTTTTGGAATAACATTCTATATTCAAAATTTGACATAGCATACTAATAACTGTCATTAGACGATGTGATGTGTTACTTCCACAGAACCACTGCATTACCCATGCACTGTCCACTCTTCCATAATTCAGTGTAAAAAATTATGGGTTGCCACACAAAACATTTGATTTAATTTAACAAAATATTACGATCGTAAACCTTCTTATTCTTCATATGCCAAGTTTGACGCTTCACCTAAGTGTCACTTAAATTGCACCGTTATTTTAATTTGCCGAATATTTAGGCATTTCCTCAAAAAAAAAGTAATAAGATGACCTTTGATATTTCTCTCAACTTTCACACAATAAATAAAATAAATTAAATCTCCAAAACTTCAAAATGGAAATGAACTACGTGATTACAAAAATCTTAATAAATTAAATCATCGCTCTGTGTGCTTTAGATTTTATGCTAAAAGTAACGAATTACAAAAATTCAATCATTTGCTATTTCCCGTACGCTTTTTGCGTGATATAAACTGTAGATAGATAGAGCCTTAACCATTAAGCCACTGATATCTTTAAATATAAGTAGGGAAGAGAAATCTTTACAATTTACTTCTTTCACAACACGAGTGTGTATATCAGTCGACGTTTTTGTTTTTCTTTATTGATTTTTAACTTTCATTACTTTTATAACAACACATTGGTGTGGATTGCCATTGTGTGTTGTGTTTGGGTACATGATATGCAGACTTCTTGGTAAAGAGTAATTAAAGAAGGTAACACATGGGACAATAATATGATCTGAAGGCCAATTCTTTTAATAAAAGTCTGGTCACAATGCAGTTCCGATCAACTTTTGATCTCACAACTGTCATAAAAGGTATTTTCGTAGTAAAATACTAAAGTATTACTAAGACTAGCAGATTACCGATTCGATTTCAGTACATTCAACGTTGGATGTTTAATACTTTACTACGGAAATACCTTTTATGACAGGTGTGAAATCGAGACTTGGTCGGAACTGAATTGAGACCGAACTTTTATTACAAGGATTGTCTTTCTGTATGCTGTATACGTTCTGTACGAGATACAATGTTGGTTGAAAAAATCTCAAGAAGTGGTAAATAGAGGCAAATACTCTGTAATAAGTTTTTATGATGTTTCTTGCCGTTTACTTGTGCATAGTTTCCAACGAAAAACATTTATTGATAAATTGGCACAAACCAAATTAGTATTATTTAAATGTATGTGTATGATATAGTTATGTAAGTATTAGATATGTAACTCGGTACTTATCAGAGCCGGTTTGCTCATGACCACGATGGGTACGATTTGGTCCAAACGTCGAGTGGTACAAAACGATAATGGCATAAGGTCCCGAGTTATACATCTAATTTAGTCGCGAAAGTAAAAACAATTTATGTTAATACGTGTAAGGTCCACCCAGGCACCTTGTTGAAATACCTTGAATTTATAATTTATTTAGATTTAGTTTAAGCATATAGTGTTTGCTTTTGTCTGTCGAATTTCAAATTACTTCTAAGAAAAACGAGAAGAAAAATATAGTTTTGATCCAAAGTAACACAAATTAATAGACTCATTTGTATGTTCTAACTATTTTATTTACAAATATAATAGTTCTGTGTGAATATTATTCACTAGTATTTATTTTAGTGTGTATTTAACTACTGTTTGTATAATTGTTAATTTATGAAATTTATAAAGTTTTGTTTCCCAATGTTATCGATTAGTCGGCCGACTCGAATAATCGCACCTACATATCAATGTTAATAAGATAAATTTATTTTAATATTTATTATTTATTTTAGAATTAATTTTGTCTAACACTTGCTGTGATTTTCACTACACATAATGTTGTAAGTAATCTGTAGGTCTTGCCTTTCTAACGAATTTAGTAATATATAATTTTGTGAGTTAAATTCGTTTGTTAGTATTTTAATGTGGATGTATACACGAAATAATATTTAGTAAGTGTGATGCACCTTTGTGGCCATGACGGACTAACGTTTTTTCAGATATCATTGACTGTCATGGTCTGATGTGTATTTAAACTAATGATTAATCACGTTTTGTGTGTCAAAAAACTTCCTATTCAGTCATGGTTCCTTGCAACTGTTGCTGCGGCCTGATCTGCAACGAATATTTAAATAGAGTATCATTGATTCATGACTGATTTAACAGGAGGTTGTTTATTTTATTGGTTTCTCTCCGGCTGTATGTATAGGAAGCTCCCTGCAGAGGTTCTCCCTCGAGACTTTGGAACGGAGTTCTTCAAAAAAGAGTGTATTGGGTTTCAAACCTTCCGCATACGAGTTATGGTAGATCTAGAAGGTACGAAACTCTTTAGTGGCTCATAGTGAACCGCCTGATTTCTGGGTCATATACTCGTAAGTCTTTACATAATTCGTTTTATTTGATTTACTGGTGATGCGAGTTTTAATTAGCTTTCGAAAAACTCAATAGATTTGAAAATGATCTATAACTTGATACTATCAGTTTATGCAAAAAGGTGAAATAATAATCTTAAAGGGCTCAGACATTAAAACGCGTTATATAATTTATTATTATAAGAATAAGTATTTGTGTCATCAACTATGAGTATAATTGGGATACATTGTCAAGCAGTCTATTGTTTAAAAAAATATCACTTCTTTTCCTATGTTAAAAATTTCCTATAAAACATTATTTTCAAATGCATATAATATGTTAAGGGACCCAACATTCACTAATAAGTAATGAGAGAACTATTAAATAGGCACATGAGACTCTGAGATACGTAATAACATAACTTAATATATTTGCTATAAAAGGAATGTTGATTAAATAATAAAATATCAATCAAATTACGAATTTACCTATGGATGCTAATGGGTTTGGAATGAAAAATATGCAAATTCGAATATGGCAGTTGGCTATCGATTAAATATTGTTTTTATACTAAAAGTCTATATTCATTCATAGGTACTGGTTCAAGTTTCTTCTTATTTTCTAAACACATTTAGAGTAAACGATTTGCCAATAGTGTTGTATACAGGATGCAGTTTTCATATTTACTAATGAACAACTGAGTCGACATTTTCATTGTTTAATTTTCTTTCGATCAAACACTAATGCGACCACGTTTATTAAACAATAAACTAATTCTGACCCATCTCATTAAATCTGACGTCAGACTACGAACTTATAGACTATACTAACCTGTGTTCATAGACGATACTTTCACTTAGTATTGAACTAAAAGCAATAAAAACATATTCGCTATAGATGAGAACATATCAGTCGATATATAATAAGTCGTGTATACATTAATATTGTGGAGTTCGCTTAATCTATTACTGGATCACTACATTTACTGTCCACGTTTCATAATAAGGTACAAATTTATAAGGGATGCACAATTATATGCCAGACGGGGTTATATTATAAATCAATTAGAAAATGTGTTTAAGTCTCAGTACATGTAATGTAAAATATAGAAATCACTAAATTTAAATCTTATTTTCTGTGTATATAGTATTTTGAAAATAAAAGGTAATATTATTCCTACTACTTCAGTTTAGTTTGGCGGACAGGAGCTTTTTGGGCCACAGTATAATAAACATGAAATCAGTGTCAACAAGTGGGTAGCTAATACATTTTATCAACTGAAACTCACCTAATGGTAATGAACTTCCTTTTTTCTGTGAGTTACAAAATTGATGTAGTGGGACTCAAAATTAACGAAATATAAGAACTATTATAGGTATATACCACATATTCCATGATAACTCTAACTACTGATCTACATATATCAAGAACAGCAGCACTAAACACGTTCGAAATGTTCTTGAACACGTTAAAATTAGGCCGTTTACCTCAGTTAATTATTATTTTAAAGCTGTACAAGTACATTTATGAATGCACTTTATATCTTATTGATGTATTTAATTAAACAATTCATCATACAGCAGACATGCAAAGTAGATATCAGTGACTAACGAACCTTTTTTTGGGTTACTGGAATGTGTGTGTGTATTTATTCTGTGCCTATATTGTGACGATTGCCATAATGTACTTTGTAAAGTGTGTGTGTAGATCAGATATTGTATGTCATCATTATCTTTTAAAACACAAGTCTAACGTTTTCTCTTTGGGAAGTCTAAAATATTTCGATAATAAATAATACACGACCAAGTACTTCGAAAACTTGTAAGTATAATAATCAAATATAATTTTATAATATTATAATACTTATAGTGATTAATTAGC